CTGAGTTTCATGCTTGCACACCCAGCACACAGTCTCTATTTTGTTCCAAAAAGTATAAATTGACTTGCTTTTCTTCATATTAGAATTGTTTTCTAGTTTCACTACGTTCTACATTCTCACTATGTGAATTTGTTTATTCTAATGCTAATGAAGCCAGAAGCTAATGTAAATTTGAAAACCAAAATATGTGGAGAATTTATGTCCATTCGAAGCTGATGAAAATTTTGTTTATTCTTTTCAATTTTCTTTAATTGGGAGTCAAATCGAAGTATTTTTGGTATCGATAATATGGTCTTTATCAAGAAATGTAGAATATTTTTCAGTTACTGTGTTAAGGTGTGCACAATGTTTATAGGTGGTAACAAATCCAAATGTCTAACTGGTTTGCTGAACGCCTGCAAGACACCTCAAGGACAAAGATTACTGGCCCAGTGGGTCAAGCAGCCACTTATGGACAAAAACCTGATCGGTAAGTTTATAAGGTTACGATCATATGATAAAGTTATTTATGCCATTATGGACGTATCTACGTCATGACGTCATTTTTCTTCTTGCATTAGACGTGATGATCATTTTTGCTTGCTTTGAATACGTTTTCTATTTTGACGAGCAATGACAGTTTATGTATCAATGATAACAGTTTTTGGTATATGTTAGCCCCGTTGAGGGCCCCAAATACCCAAAACTAAATAAAAAAGACCTGCACAAACAATATCCTTTGTCATTTGCAATAACTTACCCCAATTTGCTCTTCAAAAGTCCAATCAGGTTGCGATTAAATGAGGAAGGGTAGCTGACAAGGTTCCAATGGATTTATTACGTCGCTGTTATAATTTTGAATCTCTCTCATCCTTTTTGAATAAGACTTTTTCATTAACGATCTTATATTGCTACCATTTTACTTTTCTTATAGAGGAAAGGCTGGATATCGTCGAAATTTTTATTGAAAGTACAGAATTACGGCAAACTATTCAGGTTATTTTTATAAAAACCTTCTGATGGAAGCCTTAATAAGCTTTGTATGATACGATATGATATATTATATATTATATATTATATATTATATATTATATATTATATATTATATATTATATATTATATATTATATGATACTACATTACATTGTTTTATATTATATTTCATTATATTATATTAGCTTATGTTGAATTTTATTAGCTTATGTTGTATTTTATTAGCTTCTGTTGTATTTTATTAGCTTATGTTGTATTATCGTAAGCTTCTGTATCACTAACCGTTTACTGTAGGAAGAGCACTTAAAGAAGATTCCAGATCTATCACGCCTTTCAAAACGAGTTCAGAGACAGAAGGCGAATCTTCAGGTAAGCTTTTTTCACTTTGAAATATTCTCGATAGCTTATAAAAGTTTTAAACTTCATTTGTCGTTCTCAGTTATTTATTTTGTTTGTTGTTAGTAATTATTTCCTAATAGTGCGTTGTATTGTAACTTGATATGTTTCTCAATTCAATTTTTCCCATTTTCCCTGTTTTGATCTTTTGTCATATTTCATTGATAAGAACCTTTAGGGAGTAGAAATTATTGGACAAGAGCTTTTTTAAAGAATGGTTATTTTGAGCCAGGATGTTGTTTGAAGGAGTGGTGTATTTCTAAGGGGCAATCTTAAGATCAAATCATCTGAAACCAAGGTATGATAAGTGGATCACATTAAGTAAAAATGACAAAGCCTCCCTTGATGTATGATATCTTAATGTGTTGTCAGTGATTTTACACAAGATATCTGCTGAAGATAGCTGCTTTTGGGGCTGATGTAAGGCAGAGGGCCTTTTTCAAACAGATGTCCTCGCAGGGGGGACTTATATCGACTTTAGGGCTTTTGAAGCTGCTAGCTAAGGGCTTGTAGTTAAGGGTGTATTGGATTTTCCCATGCTAGTTTTTACTGGTCTGTGAAATGCCTTCTAGCATTGCGAAAGCATCCTAGGTTTAAAGGAAAAGAAACATATGCACTAATTTGTGGTTACATCTAGGATTGTGTTAGGATCTACCAAGCCATTCGAAGGCTTCCTTATCTAGTTAGCTGTCTGGAGAATTATAGCGGGAAGAATGAAACTATGATCAAGGAAGTGTTTACAAAACTTTTTCAGGCAAGTTTTCATTTATTCTCTTTGAATATACTGTTTTATTTCAGTTCTTTGTTTTTACGTTGCTTTGACCTATAAGCAAGAAAAGTGTCACCCTTTTCTTTTGAAATGCTCTTGCATTTTATATTCTGCTCTGCAGAAGATAAAGCGTTCCAGGCCAACATCGAGCCAACATCAATGACAATAGATTATAAATTATAATCTTTACTAAGAATTCCCAAACATTGTAATAGAATAAAGAAGCACTGATTATGTCATCCTATGTTTAAAGCAATGTTTAGAAACTAACAAAGCTTACCCAAGCTCTTTATTATGAGGATATCATAGATTATTAAGATCAATCATAGATTATTAAGATTATTAAGATCGATACCCTCATATAACTTTCCAAGCCTTTGACAAGTTATTGAGTATCTAGTTACTAAGTACTGTTTCCTGATTCACTAGGATTTCGTTGTCGATTTTTCCAAGTACATGGAATTGATTGAGACAACGGTTGACTTAGAAGCAGTTGACAGCAACGAGTTCCTTATCAAAGCAGAGTTTGATGACGGACTTAAAGAATGCAAAGATCAAATGGATGAGATATTTTCTAAATTTCCTAAAGAACTAAGCAGAGTAAGCTTGCATTTTTTATTCACTTTTTTTCATTTTTTATTCATTTTTATTCATTTTTATTCATTTTTTATTCTTTTTTTATTCATTTTTTATTAATTTTTTACTGGAAACTTTTAAGTTTTCTTTTAATGCGAGCTGCTTTTTATCTATTATAGCTCTTTAATTTGAACCATTTTTTGCAATTAACTTATATTTCTAGTTTTTGTTTCCTCGTTATTGTTTTTAACATTGTTATCCCTGAAAACCAGTGATATCACAGATTATGTGAATTTGATTGTATAACTATAGCTTTTTGATGAACTAGTTTCATTTGTATCTATATATCTCATTGACCCCAGCTTTCTTTTATTTGAAACGCATGTTAACCATATACGTCCAATAAGATAAATTTTTCCCAACAACTGCTCTTTCGTCTGCTAGCAATGCTGACTTGAAGTTGTGCCAGTAACGTCAAATTGAAATTATTCAATATTCTATGATGCATTAGTTACTTTTTATTCAAATGCATTAAATCTTCAGTCACGGTTCATTTGAATGCTTTGTTTATCAGAATTTTCGAATATAAACCAATGTTTGTAAACTTACATTATACTTCTTATCATTACCCTCAAAAAGCTAAAGTAGATGTCTGAAACAAATTTAATTTGCTTTTCTCGATGCATGCCTCGAATCTTTTTTGTTGTTATTTTTCTGCGGGTAACATGCAACTTTTTGCATCCTTATCGTTAGTTTGTTTTTGAGTGTAAGCTAATATACTTTAACGCAAACTCTCAACCTTATAACTTTCTTTTATACTACTCAACTTCATTCCGCTTGTCCCGATTTATTTTTCACTTTTAAATTATATTTTATAAATGCCGATTGTAAACTAATTTTTTAATCTTATTTTGTTTATTGTTTTTATTTTAACAGGACTACTGGGAAAACAGTGTAAAAATGTATATATGCATATCACTACTCAAGAATTATTCTGTATAAATATTCGAGAATAATAAAAATAATAATAATAATAATTGCTTCTTTTATCCACTTACTGATTAGGCTGCAAGGGAACTTGGTTTGGAAGAGAACAAGACAATCAAGTTGGAATCAGCCGCACACATTGGCTACTTTTTTCGCATCACACTAAAGGTAACACACATATGTTGAATTATGAATTGCCCTTATATTTTGCGCGTTTGATGTACGGAGAATAAGTGCATGAAGCAATGATTTCACTAGCAGACGATGAGTCCCACCGTATGGACAAGTCCCTCCCCGTATTTATCGTTTAGCGGTTGGTTGCAAACGGTAACTTCGGTACAAGAAAAGTTATCGAATGCAGCCACTTTTGTTTTAGCTATTCAAGTCTGCATATATTGATGTTTTAGGTTGCGATTGAAGTTTCATACATAACTACAGATTAATTTATTTCTACGTGTCGCTGAATATCATAAAGATTTAATTAATCTATTTGGATGCAAGGGAAACATTAACTGTACTAGTTGATCACTAGTAGTACTCTATGGTACTAGCCTCGCCTATGTAGCATCATTCACGTGACTTTATCATTGTCAAGAACAACGTCCGCTATCAAATTGATGAACACAAAGGAAAACGATAAAAATTCTAACTTCAAAAAACAGCCGATCGAGAATTTATAGTCTGTTCAAGGAAACTTAAGATATTTTTTTTAATCTGTCCCCTTTTAGTTTGATTTTGTTAAGAGAAAACTGGTTATGTTGAAATTAGCGAATAACTTCAATGCCTGCCAAAAATACTTGGAACACCCAGAAATTTACGCTGCACTTGATATCTTTCATTGCTTTTATGAAAAAAATTGCTACTTCCGCCCCTTCCCCCTACAACAATGTTGATGATTTAGAGAAATATCATAAAGGAAGCGCAAAAGAAAGTGCTTCCTAAAATCCTAACCCGTTTGATAGTAAACCAACATTGTTCTGTAGGGGAGAGGGGGATGATTGGTTTTGACCTTGGAAATTGATGTCAGTGTTCCAAGACTTTTGGCAGGCATCTTCCTAAAGGAAGCAGCAATGAAATAGAAGATATTCTGATCCTCTGATACAAAAGTGATAGACATCTTTGGTTTTTTGTTTAATTTCTTCCATTCTTTCATTAGTTGTAAAAGTAATAAAAGCTACCACGAATTACGTTTGACATTTATTGTACAATCTGCTTTTACAATACAAAGCAATTTCAATTTCAAGATCTTTTACTGCAGAAAAAACATGCTTGCTCCTATTAGGAGCGCAAGTTTTAATCAACCTTTTGGATTTCCGGATACTTTTAGCTGTTTTTATTTTTTTGCATTGAATTCCAAATTTTGACCTTTTGAAAATTTGGTATGATCAATGTTTGAATGTCTGGAAAAGACAACTTTTATTCGTTGACATCTTCTCCCCGTATGTTTTCCTTGTAACGATATAACGATCTCTTTGGTCAATGTTATGATTTCTATATAACATATAGCCTTCTCTTTGTTAGGAAGAAAAAGTTCTGCGAAACAACAAGAAATTTGAGACCATTGAAACCCGGAAAGATGGGGTGCGTTTCACAAATTCATCCCTGCGACAAATGAACTCCGAATATCAGACTTTAAAAAGCACCTATACATCCATTCAAAGCCAACTTGCTGCTGAAGTCATCAAAATTGCTGGTGTGTTATTCATACTTTCAACTTATACCACTGAATGCTACACTAACCTCTTTAAACGGCAATGCTAAAGAGGCTTAAGCCACATTTCATCAAAATTCAACAAGTGTGATTCTATTCGCACGCTCAATGATTGACTGATATCAAATATTGATTGAAAGATGGCTTTAGCCACTTTTATATCCGTCGATTGCCTCAAATTTCCTTCAAGATTGAGCAAGTAGGAATGGTAAAAATTTGTCTCTCTCAGCTTAAAATTACAAATGCCACTATGCCTAAAGCGTTTGCTATATTCTGGCTCTCAAAATCTGAGTTTATGAATTATCATGCTGCTAATCAATTTCGAATTATCAAACAAAGAATGAGAATACCTACACAAATTGCCTTAATTTTCTAGATTTGAATAAACGTTCCCAGTAAATAAAAGGATGATACATATGGCTTTGAAAAAAGCAAATATTTGAGTAAACTAAAGCTTTTCGTCGGACACTCTTGAGTTTGACGTCTTTAACTCTGAAGAGTGTCAGACGAAAAGATTTAGTTTACTCAAATGTTTGCTTTTTTCAAAGCCATTTTCAAGTTTTGTACCACTAAAAGATTGTTTGATGATACACATGTTATAAAAATTACTGTTTCTACGTCTTTGGAAAAGAAAGAGAAGCTGAAACTAGGATTTGCACTTAGAACTGTCCCGTTCTATACACCAAGGTGTGTTCAGCCCTTCCTGTTCTTTATCGAGCATTCTGTAAAAAATATCTTTCAAGTTTGCTTATGTATAAATGCATTTTTTGTAGCTGGATACGCTGAGCCACTCCAGTCACTCAGTGACGTTATTGCTCATCTTGACGTACTTGTGAGGTACAGCAATTTCTTATTCTATTTTTGTAAAAGGTTCCTATATATTATATTTTTGTCTTTAGGTATTTTAAGAATTTTCATTCCTTCAGAGCTGGTATAGGCAATTCACAATCACTTCTACAACATCTGGGCTAATCATAACCTATTTGGTTTAATGACCTAATCATATCATATCAGCGTATTGTACTCATAATCCAGCTTGGGGGGGGGGGCTAAAACCGAATAGAAAGTGGCCTGAGTGGTGATTCATTTGTAAGTGGTACCATTGGTAAGTGGTAAGTGCTATAACCCCCCCCCCCTACAGCTCCCCCGTCTCCGCGGTGCCTGATAATATCAAGGACTAACAGGAGGGATTTTGGTAATCTGCCTCTACGCAAAAAAACCTCTATGATAGCAAAGCAAAAATTTTGAAGGCAGCACGAAAAGCTGAAAATAATATACTTTAGCATTACCCTGGTATTACCTGATTGTTATTCCCTGTGGAATGTCGGATAACCAGTGCTCGGGTATGCTATGTATCCGCTTCTTCATGTTTCTCAAAGTTTCATGCTTATTTTGTAATTTCAAGCTGAGGTATGCACAAAAAGCTATTTATTGCATAAGTTGGTATTTTAATGAAATGATGATTATTTAAAAATCACATATACCTGAATACGAAGTAACAGGACATGATTGCTTGAAAATAACAAGTCTGCTTCTCTTCTTTGTTCACAGTTTTGCAGTTGCTGCGACCATAGCTCCCATCCCTTATGTACGTCCAGTTATCAAGGAAAAAGGTAAAAAATGTGAATTCAATTAAGTTTACCTATAATCCTATATCTTGATTGTGTTATTTGCTCTTCAAACTTTATTTTTTTTGTTCTATCTTGCGATGTTTCTGCCCTAAAGAATGGAAAGAAAGTATGCCCCCCCCCTTTTCGTCACTCTTTCACCTTCTTTTATCAAGAGTGAAGGAAGTATTTTCCTTAAAGAATGAACCCAACCTCAAATCGCTATTGCAGTATTCTTTTTGGTGACTCCTTTGATAAGTCGCAGCCAATTTGGTACTAAGGCTTTGCTAGTCAAAATTGAATCTCACTGTCTAAAACAAAACATCGAATTAACGCACGAAGAAAAAACGTGTCAGCCGTATTTTAAAGAATTGCTTTTTCCAGACGCATAAATACCATTACACAATAAACAGTTGAGGGGCAGACAAGCTATTTTTCTGCTACTGGCGCTACGAATCCCATTTCTGTTCCCTTTTATTGTTGTCTTTGAAATTTATGACTCCCGTATAACTCTCTAAAGGTCGGTTTCCTCTTGATTCGCTCAGCAAATGGTCGCGCATTCGCAGCGAACGAGGAAGTTCAATTTGCGCATTCCCCAATGTGCATTCGCTCAGTCGCGCTAACAGAGCGAATAAAGTGGAAACCCGCCTTAAGATGGAAAAACATGTTAAACCCCTCTAAGAAGCCCCAGAGTATTCTCCACCTCAGGCTGGTTTTAACTTGATTAATTCTGTCCGCGCGTCAAACTTTTGAACATGCGCTTGAATAAATGAGTTTCAGGTTGCTTTGGTTGGCTCGCTTGCGTCGAAGTCCCACAAACACAGTGACACAAGAAAAGATCGGCCTTTCTCTCCTTTCGTCAAGTTAGCATTGCCTTATCGATTCGCTTTACCTGCCTTTTTCTCTGTTAGGTACTGGTAACATCATATTAATTGGATCTCGACATCCTTGTCTTGAGGTCCAAGACGAAGTCGCATTCATTCCAAATGACGTCAAATTGCTAAAAGGTAGAATTACGTCACCTCTTTTTCTTAGAATACATTTCACTTTTGAGCAAAAATGCCTGACTAAGGAACCTTGCCCCATGAAAATTTTTCATATGCTCTTTGAAACTTCCGAGTGGCGAGGTTCCAGTCCAGTGAAAGCACATGTATAAGAGAAACCTGACTGAAGATCGAAAGGATCTGAATTCAGTTTTGGGTATCAAATTTCAACGTGGCCTGAAAAGACAATTCAACGAAAGTAAGGCTTCGCACCACCAAATGTCAATTAGCGTTTTTTTCGGTATGCGATTATCATGCTTAAAATCAAAACCGAAACGAGTTAACTGCTTAACGTGACCAGACAGTAAAATAGAGCAACTGAGCTGAACACGTGGTACTTTGAGCTTGAAAGCGCTCCGAATTGGCTCATGGTTAGGGTCCAACATATCGAGCTAATTGTTATGTTTTAATATTTTATGTTTGGGTGGCCATAATAGGCAGATCGCAGAGGTATACCCTTGGCAGTCCTGTTTACTCAGCTTCAATGATGCTTCTTTGTTAAATGTGATCATGATCACATAAAAAGAGTTCTGGGACTAGTGTCCTTTAAATACTACATTAATCATCGTATACCATTTCATTTTTTGTGAAGTATAGCCGATGGTTCCACACGTATGGTTTAATCATAGTTCTTTGAGTTATATCCACAGTCCTTACCAAAGGTCCATAGAACTATCTGTTACTCAAGTCCATTTTTAAAAAAAGGTTAACTGTTTCATATATACAAGAGCGATAAAGCAACCTCCTTTCCCTAACCGATGTTGGTTCTAGTTTGAGGTATCATTTTTTTAGAGAAATCAATTGGACAAATTAAACTTTTTAACACTACATACACAACATTGTTCAGAGTGGGAGAGGGAAATTTCATTTACAGTATGTGCAGATTAGTCGTATAGTACCAAGAAGTTTTGCAGTGATTGCAGCCATCTGTTAAAAGTCCCCAGGCAATCAGGCAATTACAATATCGTTGCTTTCTCCAATAGCTACTTGATATTGTAAATATTGATGAGTGTTCTTCAATGAAACTGCAAATTGCCTGTTTTATGCTCTGTATGTCACCTTTTCTTTGCCCAAATTTGCTTTTTATCTTGATAGTATCCCTAGGATCAATGTATTTGTCTTAGCCACTATGCATTTCCTTTTGTTCTAGATGAGAGTGTCTTTCAGATTATTACTGGACCAAACATGGGTGGAAAGTCAACATATATTCGTCAGGTTTGTTTCGGTTTTTGCAAACCTTGTTGTTTTAAAAGCTGTGCAATATATCATACTTCATCCTTGAATGTAAAATAGAATAGATGCACTCAAAGAAATCTGTTGGGAATTGAGACCAAATCCTTACTATATACTGTAAAGAACTTCCAATAATGCATTGATTGCTCTCTGTCGAATTCTTTTTATATGGCAAACTATAACAAAGTGTTGTTCTGTAAGACCAAACTTCAACTGTAATTTCTTCATTTAGCAAGATGGTAGAAGGTACAGCCATTTTTCCAAGATAGATTATAATCGTTTTGCCTGAGTTATATTAATCAATATAGCTTTGAAAATCTACAAATATTTTTTGGACAAAATAAGATAGCTCAAATGGACTCTAAAAAGGTTAGCATAATAAGAAAATATTTTATTTCTGATAAGAAAAAGCTTTTAAAGTAAGGCCCTTTTGCAAACTTATTATATTATACAAAACAATTTCATACAACGTTTTATTTTTTTAATTGTTTCTTCAAAGTTTTTAAAATATTTTTAAAAAGTTTCACAATTTAAAAAAAGTTTATTTTAATCATAATTCATTTTGCTTCACGTATAGATTGGTGTCATTGTCTTGATGGCACAGATTGGATGTTTTGTTCCTTGTACGTCAGCAGAAATATCAATTATCGACAGCATATTGGCGAGAGTGGGTGCAGGTGATAGTCAGCTGAAGGGAGTGTCTACCTTCATGTCTGAAATGCTGGAAACAGCTTCTATTCTACGGGTAAGATGCTTTCTGTTAACCAAATAACAACTTATTTTGAAATACTGTAAAGCTTCAAAAGCATTCACTTCCGAAGATTTTTGGAGTCTCAAGTCCTCCTCTCCTTGAAGACGAAAGGTTTTGAAAAAATAATCGAACAAGTGTTTATACTTTACCATTGTTGCAAAAAGGTAACAATTATACTACAGGGTGAGAAGAAAGGACAAAATATACAATTCCGTTAACATTGACTTGTTTCTGATCAATATACCAGTGCATTGACGAACCTTGTGCCGTTCTTCCAGTCTGCTACAAAAGATTCGTTGATAATCATTGATGAACTTGGTCGAGGGACTTCAACATACGACGGATTTGGACTTGCATGGGCAATTTCTGAGTGAGTCGATTGCTTGTTATCAATTTTATTAATGAAAGTAATTGATTTTTAAAGAATTTCCCGATTTCAAACAATTTATCAAAGCAGATCAAAATAGGGGACTCCAAAATAGGGGACTCCAAAATAGGGGACTGTTACGTTAACCGGTTTCCAAAACTTCATAACTATTGAAATTTTATGAAAGTATGATCTAGCATAGTAAATGGATGTTTCAGTTTCATATCCAACTGTTTTATCTTTAATCTTCATCCTATTTAGAAATTGATGAAAGATTTAAAATGAAGCACTGACCAGACACATACATATTCCTCCATAATTTTCAATCTTTATCTAGGATAGGGCACCTTAAAAATTTTTTGTTGTGACAAGTTTGCTCTTCATTTTCCAGACACATAGCTACACAACTGAAAAGCTTTTGTCTCTTTGCCACCCATTTTCACGAGTTAACTGGCCTAGCTGATGTCGCTCATGCTGTTTCCAATTTGCATGTTACAGCCATGACAGTTGACGGAAGTCTGACATTGCTTTACAAAGTCAAACCTGGTTAGTTGTAAATGTCTAGTCATCGTTGTTACCTCCTTTTATCGAAACCAAAGACCTTTGGTATCAATAAAAGAGTTGCTTTCCTAACCATTTTTGCTCGAAACGTAATTATTGATAGTGAGTTTAGTTACCCGGAAAATCCTAGTAGCATAGCATTACGAGGGAAGTTTCTTTACAGAAAATGCTTGCAATATATTTTAAAATACTTTTGCAAATTCACTCTTGCAAATAGCGTACGAGATTTTCTCTAAAACCAAAGGATTTCTGGTGATTTCCAGATAAAATAATAGGATTTCCACCAAAGGTGTACGAGATTTTTCGGAGTGATTTGCCCCTCGTATTAAGCATTGGCTTTTTTTTATACTATTTTCCTGCTAAATATTCTTCTACTTAACCTCCCCTATTCAGTCAAAGAAATATTGATTGCATAGGAGAATTTGAAACCTGACAGGAATAAGAACATTTTTAATTAAATCATACCTGTATGGCTGGATTATGTTAACATTTTTAATTGGAGAAAGAAAATATTTTGATGCTAGCTTGAAACAGGCAGTCGGTAAAGTGTTTCACCATAGAAACATCCAGAAAAATTAGAATTTAAGAATGTCTAATTTGAGAATTATCTTAGCTTAGATTTCTGTATAAATATCCTGTCACAACAGGGAAATTTTGATGCCTTGGAAGTATGCTTTGAAATGAAAGTTAATCGAGGAAAATTTTTAAAAGCTTAGTAAAAAAGATTGAAAACCTTAAATGCAATGTAATATTAATATTTCTCATAGATTTTAGTAAACGTTTGAAGTTCATTTCAATAATTTTTGTGTACATAAACTGATAAAATAATTATTTTTAGGTGTTTGTGACCAGAGTTTTGGTATTCATGTCGCTGAGTTGGCACATTTTCCACAAAATGTCATTGAGGTACCCTCAGCATTAATCTAATAAGAAATCTTTTTTTAATATTGTTATAAAAGGATATTTGTCATTTATAAAGTTAGGGCTCATAATAAGCGGTATTGTTGTCATATCGCTTCACTTACTTGCATATTTACGCTATTTGGTGTATAGAACAGGACGCTTCTTAGTTGCTACTCTGCGATCATCAAGCAACTGATGCTTATCTATGTTATTTTTTTATAAAGTAATTATTATAACTATATGGTATTGTGATTAATTTATTGTGTATACAATTTTTTGTATAATTTAGTAATGTTGTTGTGTTGAATTATTGAATTAGATGTTTTTTTCATCGTACTGGAAGCAAGGCGTTTTTGAAAGTTGCCTGATCACATCAGTTGAAAGTTACCTGATCGCATCAGTTGAAAGTTACCTGATCGCATCAGTTGAAAGTTACCTGATCGCATCAGTTGAAAGTTACCTGATCGCATCAGTTGAAAGTTACCTGATCGCATCAGTTGAAAGTTACCTGATCGCATCAGTTGAAAGTTACCTGATCGCATCAGTTGAAAGTTACCTGATCGCATCAGTTGAAAGTTACCTGATCGCACCAGTTGAAAGTTACCTGATCGCATCAGTTGAAAGTTACCTGATCGCATCAGTTGAAAGTTACCTGATCGCATCAGCTGAAAGTTACCTGATCGCATCAGCTGAAAGTTACCTGATCGCATCAGTTGAAAGTTACCTGATCGCATCAGTTGAAAGTTACCTGATCGCATCAGTTGAAAGTTACCTGATCGCATCAGTTGAAAGTTACCTGATCGCATCAGTTGAAAGTTACCTGATCGTATCATCAGATCGCATCATCAGTTATCAGTACATTAACTTTTTAACCAACTGTAATCATTCATTTCCTTTCCCAGGCAAGTTTTCTTTACGATAACATTTTTTCATGTGAAGAGAAATAAAAGTTTTGGATGTTTAAAAAAACTGCAACTTGTCTGCTTTGGATTTTTTGAGAAACTCTGGTGCAGATAGATTCCTATATGCTTACACAAAAATCAAGATTTTCACTTGCAAAATATCAACTAGCTTTCGCCTTCTCTAAGCTAACGATATCATCAGAAGCCATTTCTGATAATGCATAGAACCTGGGCTCTAATTTATTCAGTTATACATTAAATGTAATTGGCGAATTGACTGAAGAGCAAGTAGAGGCGCGAGTGAATGAACTGAAATCAGTTGTAACGGCAAGCACAGGCGTTCCTTGGGTACCAGAGCCACTTAAATTCGAGAACAGAAATAGAAGATTGGAACGGAGAAACGGAGGAGTGTCTAGATAGATGCCTTCTAGCTTAACCGCTCCTATCTTCTATTTCCTTGTTCGAAAGTTTGTGGCTCTGGTTCCCAGGGTAGCACAGGCGTGTTTTGAATGAGCCTCACTCTCTCTGTTATGTGTATCTTCTTTTGAAATTATGCGTGGTAAAGTTTGAGTTATTTAGTTGTACTCTCATGATATTTTCGTAAGCTTTTATCCTGTGGATTTGCAATATACTATAATGTTTTAACCCATCGATAAGTGTAATCAGAGCCAAAGTGAATCAAGAGTACCGGCACAATTACAGTCTTTGTCTAGATCTTAGTGTTTGTGTGTTTTTTACTCGGATACCAATGTCTTTAATACCGTTCTAGTTTGCAAGAAAAAGAGCTAGGGAGCTTGAAGATTTTCAAGGAACATCTGGGACATTTACCGACACTGTGGCAGGTAATATATGCTCTAGAAAAGTCATTTGATTTCTCTTAAGTTTTATACATGACAAAGAATCAACAACTTCAAAGTGACTTTATGGTAATTTGTATTTATTAAGATCACGTGAGTGCTATGAATGCGTAGTATTTCGTCATACACTCCTTTCCGTCAATTTAATTCAAATAGAGTCCTTCAAGCTTGCTTCTTCTCTTGTAAAGCATTTATTATTTTATCAAAACCTGAACAATCGTACTTCAGACTTGATCGAGGTGTAAGTAGGTTTTCCATCCATTGACAACTTCTTGCTTAGTAGGACTCTCAGATGCTCTTACAATATTGCTATCGAATGCTAATTCTATCAAGTCTATCAACAACATGATCACTGCCAAAGTCTTAAAAAAAAGTCTATATAGGTCTTTAAGATCGAATTCGACAATCCCCTTTTATTGAATGAAAATGAAGCATGTTTTTCGTAAGATTGAATGAAAAACAAACTTGAAGCTGTTGGGTGTTCCAAGCAATTTGGCCGCCGTTGTTGTCGGTGGTATTGCAAAAGTAAGAGACAGTGAATAATCACCTGTTTATTTGATATTGGACCTTTCAATACAACAAATACAGCCATAAAACTCTCTTTTTCACGAAATCTGAAATCTCTTGGTAAGACACCCACCCCTATAGTACGTTTCACAACAAGTAGTCTTGTCTGCTATTGCTAAAGCCATAGTCAATGATATTCAGTCATATGTATCATTTAATTTCCTTTCCTAGCAACACTTTAATATATCTGTTATTATTTTGTCTATCTTGGATTCTTTTATAGTCTGCTCTGTGGTGGAAGTTTTTCTATCTGTAAATGTCTCCTGGTCAAAACAAAGCTTCAAATAACGTTAGCTTTAATGAATGGCGTGAATACAATATCGGACTTAAGGAAATAACCGTTGCTTTTCAGTACTTTTGCAAGTAAAAAATCGTTAGTTCCTTAATTGTTTTGCGGCTGTTAAGACAAAGATGGATAGTATGCAGTATCTTCTTATTAAATCAGTATTTCCTAATTAGTTATCCTAATTATCAACAGACCTGTCACAGAACTAATCTCATCATCTCAGGCTGTTCAGTTCCAGCTTTTGCCAAATTGCCAAATAAATTCAGTTTTGGTTTTATTGATTTCAATTTATTTTATTGTCTTGGAAAGATCTGCAACCTAATACTAATTTCACCAGTACTATATCGAATTTGCAGGTCTAGACCCTTTCCGATTTACTATTTGAGCTTCAGATCTGGTTTGATCATTAAGAAATTTTGGCTTTCCGTTAATATAAGATTTTCATCCAATTTCATTTCCAGATCACGACACTGCTGCAAAGAAAAGACGAATAGCAAAACAGGTTTATTTGCTTTTTTCTTTACATTTTCAACAGTTTCTTTCATTTGCTTATGAATCTTCAGTTAAAACTTCAGGCTAAACAAAATGCTTACTTGTGTGGTCTAAGGCTCCTCTTTTAGCCTACAGTCTCGCGACAAATGGGTTTTTTTGTACAGGTTTTCAGTGCACCACAGATTAAAATAGCTATACCATTAACTGGGCAATAAACAGTCTCGTTTCAATCGAACATTTAAGTAAACACCCTAGAGCCAGCTGCAAATTTTCTGATAGATGATCTGCTACTCAGGTACCACTAACAGTGCCTCACAGAGTCAAAAAATTAAAACAAGGTTGGGAAAAACGCGATTTGTGATTAGTAAGGATCGTGTGACATTCATCTGTGGCTTAGCTGTATGCAGAAGTCCCCGATCTATAAGAAATATGTACGTTCATTAGTTTGTGCAACCTCTGTGGGAAGCACTCTGAAACCTCTTTTCGTGACAGCCTCTCGCGATTTTTCTTTTTTTAGTTTAGTTTGTTTTTGGTAATGACCAACTTCGTTTTTTATGGGTTTTTCTGATCAACCTGCTTTATGGGTAGGGTTTTGCACCCTCGAATGTCCCTGCCATTTGAATTCACCCTGTCTATTAGCCTAAACCATTTCTTTGTTTTGTTTCAATGATAGGATGGAATGAAAATAATTGACGATTTCCTGCACAAAGTCACAGAAATTCCTCTTGGCGAATTGTCTGAAGAGCAATTAGAGGCGCGAGTGAATGAACTGAAATCAGGTGTAACAGCAAGCGATAATTTGTACATCAAAGAGCTACTGGTTAAATAGCACTCCTTTCATTTGATTTATGGGATACTGTTATAAAAATTTGGAATGGTTAGAGTCAACAATACTATCGGATTTAGTTAGTGTAGCTCATAATTATTATTGTAGATAGAATTGTAACCTGTCTTGTAAAATATTCGTGTTTGTTTGTATTTCTAAATGTTTATCTGTTGTTAAATTCACAACAACAACAACTGCCGCCATCCGCAACAGACCTAGCTTGCGCCCAGACACTAACCCTCACGAAGGACGTGTTCTAAACCTCCTTCTGCATGCATACTACCACAGACCACGTACCCTGGCTTTCTCTTCTTCTCACCTCCTCCGCACTTTCCTGCGACGCCCCCTACTTGACGATCCCACAACGCCCCATTTTCCTATTCCCCACTAGACGCTCTAGAACCAACAGTACAGTCCATGGCGAAAGACAATTATTCCAGACAGTCGTTTCAGGCCGTCGTTTCAGGCAGTTATTCCTAACAGTTTGTGAACAGTTGGTTATACCATGCAGTTTTTTTGGTAGCCGTTTCTTTATGACGTTAATTTTGTCACATTTCAAGTATTAGGGAGGGTCCCTTTTCTACAATCTGAGCTTTTCTACACCTGGAGAAACAATCAACTTTTTCAAGCAGTTGATTGCTTTTTCATTATAAATACCAAATACAATTTTTAGTATCGATATATTTTTACAGGCTTTACAACATAAATATTGGTCACTTTCTTGTATTTGGCTTATGATTTTTATTTATTATTCTTTGTTTTTCTTTCTTTGCAAAGTTTATGATTAATTTTGTTGTTATATATATCTTTTTATAATTTTGCTGTTATTAAGAGCAATTTACTGTAGACTCTTTCTTCTGTTTACTGTCTTTTAAAGAAAATATTTTACTATTAAGGGCACAGCAACAAAAGTTCGTAAAAAGAAATGCTAGCATATTAAAACGCGAAAGAATTTAAATGCAGGATTTAATGCAGTACATGTTAATTATCAGAAGTCACAAATTATTCTATATTGATCTTTAATTGTTGTGTTAGTTTATTATACTGTATTGTATCTTCAAAAGTCGGTTGATTAAAGTTTTATTATTTGTATCTGTTTAAACTGCGATTAAACTTTATTGATTAACGATTAAAGAATCCCAGAATTTCTCAGGACACCTTTGACGATAGTATGACATGTCTGAGACGTTTTTTGTCTTTTTTACATCAACTTTTAATGTAGAATTGTTATCTTTCATCAGCAGCATAAGAAGTACCCAAGTGCAATCGTATGCTAATGTACTGTAACCTATGTTGTGTAGTCTTAATTCTGCTGTTTAAATAAGTGTTTTGTTATGTTAAAGATAGTCATGTCTAAGTAATTGTCTTGGGTTATTCTTTGATGCACTCTTTTTCTCTTCAAGCTGTAGCAGATATGAAATAGACTCCACTTTGCCCCGAGACAGCATTTTTGATTGGACTGTTCGTGTTTTGTTTCTTTAAGGGGTGATTATTACACTAATAATTATGAAACTCTGAAGCTCGGTAAAGCAGAGGCATACGAACTAATGTGTGACTTTTGAAGGGAGCTAGCGATTCGAAATTCATCAGGAGGGTGTAGGATCCGTTAATACGTTTTTCTATGGTGGTCCGCCCATTTTGAACAGGGAATTCCCCAGATTCCTAACCTTAGATTTTGTTCTTGACTTAGAAAATCTGAAAAAACCCGAACGCCAAGCATTCACAAGTGTGATCTTCTCGCACACCCACACGTGTTTCTATAAAATCCTTGTTAAAGAGATTCTTCAGACAGTTTAGCTATGTTTTCCTAGTACCCTCTTGGATCTCTGTTAGAAGAAAATATTGCCATTTTCATATTTGGTCAAGCTGTACGTTTTCTGTAAATAATTACATAGTTATTACGTAAAGATATTTTAGGGTGCTTATTCGAGGAGGTTGTTTATTCGAAGGGGGGTCTATTCGAGGACTTACGGTAGTTCATAGATTTATTTGAAGATGTTTCGGCTGGGGGGCTGGAGGAGGCTGGGGGGGCTGGAGCCCCCAAGAACTGTAGTTTGTTTCCTTTACAACAGTGTTCTGAATGAGAAGGAAAACAAGGGGCAGCCCCCCTATGTAAATTTCGTTCCGACGGCACTGGTATTGGATAAAAAGTGAGCATGCTATCGTTATGAATGGGTAACAGCTATCAATCTAACAAGCTGCCTGTCTCAGTAAGTTGCCTTTGATTTAGGATCCTTGAGCATTTGGGATTTGAAATTATCGATATAGGCCCTAGGGAGCCTTTTTACATTTAAAATTAAGTACAAGCAAGCATCACCTTAAACGAGCTTGATATTTGCTATCTAAAACTGCTAACAAGATAATAAGAAATTCCCCTATGCTCTTTTCTAAAAAGAAAAGCTTTCCTATTCTTTTTTAATACGAGATTGGGAAAAAATACCTTTGGATCCAATCAATTAAGAGTTTATTTGATAATACTGGCATGTCGATTGTATGGAACCATCATTTTGTAAATAATAGTTAGAAACTAATGGAAGTAATTTCAACTAATTTAAAGGACCAATTCCTTTAAATGGAATAGCGAAGTGCAGGAGTCGAATAAAGGGAGAATGTATTCGTGTATGAAGAAAAATTATGGAAAGGAAAAATCTTGACCTTCTTCCTTCAAATTTAATACAATAACTAATCTGTTTCAGAACAGCAAACCATAAATTGGCAGTAGAAACAGGTAGATGGGGCAAAATAAGTTATGATCAAAGGATATGTCATATGTGTTCATCCAACGAAATCGGAGACGAGCTCCACACACTCTTGAAATGCCCTACTTTTTCGCATGTAAGAAATTATTATATTCCTAGCTATTTTGTTAAATACCCGTCTATACTAAAATATCAAATTGATGACAAAGGCAGGTCACCAAAAACAAATGCAGGTCACCTCCTGTAAAGCAGTAGCAGACTAAGTTCTTTGTTGTAGTTGTTGCTTCTCTTTCCTTATTTTGGCTAAATTCCTCCCCTGTTTTGGCTAAATTCCTCTCCTTCCCTGTTTTGGCTAAATTTACATAAATTTTAATAGTTGTCGCTTAATCGTGCTCGTACTGTTACTTGTTGTTTTAAGTATTAAATTGTACTTTGATGATGATAATGGGTCTAAATATTGGTTTCAGACCTGGTACCTATGCTTAGCTTTGTTTACATTGCTAGCATCTGCTTGTTTCTGTCCCTTGCAGCATCCCCCGGCAGCCTCACTGCCCATTCAGAATGGCGAAAATACTACAAACATCTGGTGTACTCTGTTTCCCCACTCGGTGCTACGTTTGTGTAAATATCGCCCAGCAAGTCTTCGCTGCAGTTACAGCCCAATCAAACGACTGGAGAGTGTCGACTCGTCCAATAAATTTGCAGCAGTCTCTATGTCATGGAAAGAACGTAGTATTGCAAGCTGAGTTGATGATAGCATTCCTACAGTATAACACCCTACTTATTGCTTGTCAGCAAAGCTTTTCTCGAGTGTGAAAGGAAACAGAGCTTTGGTTTCATGTCGTTGTACAAAGTAAACGATGTAATTCGATCAATTTTAGCCAAAGCAAAACTGCGGAGCTCATTTGCTAGCAAAACAAGAAGAATTCCACAAAGATACTCGGTATGTTGATATTCACGTTTATATTTTTTACGGGCCCACTTTGCCTGTGGGCTGGGTTAATATTGTTTCCGTTCCTGTCAATAAGATCCCCTCCCATGCACAACCCAACGAAGCAAGCTCGGCCAATTTTAGGCCTTATTCTGTGCACAAAACATCGATTAAGACAGAAGATATTCTTCTTATAACCACTTTGTCATTACTTTAACACTTGCCAAAACACCAACAAATTCTGAGATTTTGCATCCTGTTTTCTTTTCTTGATTTCGTTTTTTATTTCCCAACTTCCGCAATGAGATTGCGAAATTAAGCAGGTTTTTCCGCGTCAGTTTTGATCCCTCTGTGAAAGCGCGTTTTTTATTTCTTAAAAATTGCTTTGTTTGAACCAAGTTCTATAAAATTCCTTTTAAATTTAGTTGGAGTTGTAGTTATATAAAACATTCTAACAAGCCTCTTCTAAGATGGAGCAGCTCTTTGCACTGAAAAATTTCTTTACATTGAGATTTGGAAACTGGCAGGTGCATCTTTTGCCCCAAACCAGTCCTTTTTGTCTCCCGTGTATAAAATCATATAAAAAAGGTAAGCAATCATTTTCGAGAACGAAGGGCAAATCACTCTATAAAAATCTCTTTGGTGGATGTCCTGATGTATTATCAGAAAATCCATAGAAATCTCATATGCTATTTGCAAGAGTGAATCGCACTTCGCACGAGGATGTCATGGGATATAATGCGTAGATCATTGTCTGTCAACCTTTTTTGATCCACAGCACATTTTTCATTTGGAAAATCACCTCAGGTTCACCTTGATTCACCTGACACACCACAAACAGCCAATGTTAAAATGAAACTCTTCGGCCTACATCAACAATTTAAACTCATTCTCGTTGAAGTGCCTTGAATAGAAATCTAATAAACACAAAAATGTATTTGGCTTAGGTAACGTGGTCCTTGTGGGAATTGTCTTCATTTGCAACGGTTGAAGTTTTATAATGTTTTTGCTAGCTTGCAAGATAACAAAATAAATTGAGTGAATGTACAAAGGGAGTGGTCATCGAAATTAGCCACCCCAGAACATATGTTGTGTTGATCCGGTTGGGGGCTAGTAGATTTTTTTGTACATAAGGCAAGCAATCTTGTAGAAATCAAGTATAAAGAAGGGTTTTGTTCATTGGTGGTTTTAAGGGGGCTCATGGCTCTAGGTCCCGCGTTTATGGTAGCAAAGGGGCCCCACACCTAAGAAAAAAGATGCCCGCAAAAGCGTCACTGGTCTTGTCATTACTTTTAGTTTTAGATCGTTAGTTTTACCCGCCAGACTGGTAAATTTTTACCGTCTGGCAGGTAAAATAGGAAGTAATGTTTTTATAAATGTGTTCCTCAATTCATTTTGCTTTTCATGAGTCATAAACCTCCGCAGCCCCCACCCCTAATCCCACAGTCCCCCAGTCTTCAAGTCCCCTTTCCCCAAATCTGGTACGCTAGCGCTTGCTAAGACCGGATAGCTCTGCTTGAGGTACCTTCATGGAGAGGAGTTTTACCTCCGGGACAAAGGTCTGAAGGTTCGTAATACATATAAAGATAGCCTTCTATCACATTTGATTAAGATCTTTATCCAGAATCCACCAACTCAAAGGAGATCTAAAGGATATGCAAACTATGATATGTCCACGGAATAAGGTGGATTTGCTTCTTAGTACATACGAACCGTCGATGTCACAAACATAAATCAAGCAGACCAATGAAGCACGAAAAACGAAGGTGGTCATTTAATGTGAATCTATAATACCGTAAATCCTCAAATTAGCCCCCTGGGGGCTTATTCATTTTTGATACTTTTGGATGGGGGCCTATTCGAGGGGGGTTTATACGAGGGGGGGTAAAATTATTGTAGACACTACTAAAAGTATGAATTTGTTGTGGTGCTTCAATAAAACGCCATATAGGCAATCTCAAATGGCAACAATCATCAAACGGAGGGGTCCAATTCGAGAATTTACGGTAGCAGTGAGGGCTTATTCGAGGGGAGGGGCTTTTTCGAGGGGGTGGGGGGCAACTCAAGGATTTACGGTATAGGTATTTTTAACTTAACCTTTTCCCATGAATTTTTTCTTAGTAAAAATGTTCTCATATTCTAACATTTTACAGAACCGCAGCCTTTCGTTAGTTTGTTCTACGTTTTGAACAGTTGTTGGGCACTTACCATTTCTGCAGCGTAACCTATAACACCGAGTATATCCCAAAAATTTGATCAGACAAGCATTTTGTGTTGCGAAAGGAATTAAAATATGTTGTACACTTCTTTATGAGAATACACTTGATAAGGAACCTACATGGGGATGGCAGAAAAAATTAAAGAACTGTTAAGACCAAAGGCAAAATTCCTAACAAACTTCTCAACTTTGAACATTTTTATAATGTGCCTTTTTGTGTGATTTCGGGTATTTCATTTCCTTCTTGCTTGAATTTTTACTTTTTCATATATCAAATGTCTTTCTAGTCTTCTTTCTGTTTTTCACTTTGTTTTCTAGCTTCATTAATATATATTAGCTACATTAGCGACACTCATACAGAATTTCAATGAACTATGTGCAATTTTCATGGTACAAAATGTGCAGTTAAATTAAGGAGCTATTATGGAACCTTTTGTACAACAATTGGATCAAAAGAGGTTAAAAAATAAGAAAATTCAAGGACTAGGCCCTGGACTAGGTTCTTATAAAAAAATACACCCATAATTATATGTCCCCATAATCAATTGCAGTGTCTCGATTTCGATTCGTTTTCTCGTCCCTTTATTCCCAATCCAACTCAGCCCAGCCCCAATCCCCCCCCCCTCCCCCCGGCTCAATTGTATTTTCCGTCTTTTTTTCTCATCAACAATGTCAATATGCATCAAATGCGCCGCACTACAGTCGTTGTTCCCCCTGGACCAAATCACATCAACATATCGTTGATCGTTAAGCCAGAAAACTTTTGTGTGCATGATCACGAAATGATATTTATTTGCCTCCTCCCACTCCATCAATAAGTAATTAAACTGATAGAAAAATAAAGATTATTATTTGTTGATTAAATATTATCATCACTTAAGCCAGCAATATTGTTTCCGGTCATCGCCCTGATTCCGTTTCTATGTCAGGGTTGTAAGGAAACATTCCTTGCATCTCATGGCGTTGAAATAAACAAAGTTGCAACGATCACACAGTTTTGTTTTGCACCCCGTTGGAACGATAGACGACAACTGATAACGAAAAGGAACGCGATAGATCAGTGGAAAGGTTTGTTTGATTCTGGCATTCCTACTTGTGCGCAAGCTCTGTATCTTTGAATCTTTGAATTAGAGACATTTGCTGGAAGAGTCCTATACGTATTTATTGAACAGCCAGTGAAAAGATTTTGAAAATTGGGGAACGAAAGGGGACACAAACAGATCCCTTTGCAGGGGGAAAGCAGACTTGGTTCTATAAAAACAATAGTTTGTACATATCAGTTACCAAATAATTGTGACATTAAGACAATTGAATTTGATAAGACAGAAACTACAAAAGGGATAAACATAGTTAACTCATTCTTCGTATACAAAAGGGCCCAACGAAGAATTGTGCTTGGGACTGCTCTTTTATTTTAGATACAAAACGATATATCATAAAAATTCTGTGCTCCGGTCTCTTGTCAAATTGATTTTTCATTCCATTGCAAGACTAATCTCTGCTCTCTTTTGACTCAAAAAGAACATATAAAACTTGATGCTGGCCCTTGTGATTTTCTGAAAATATTTCCTTTTTAAGCAATGATCAGAGATGGTTAAAGCAGAGATGATTTTAAGTAGAAAACTTCAATCCATGCAGTTTTTCCCCAAGGTCCCCCCCGGTAAATTATGTAAATAACGGACATTTCGAGGTGGGTAGTAATGATCGATTTCTACATCTGCCGTATCAAGCAATGAATATTTTACCATTAAAGAAGGTCTATAAATTTTGAGGGTTCATATCTTCCCACTTTAAATTAACTCTAAGTATAAAAGCTATTTTCCACAGATGAAGTATTGTTATTCTGAGTGGGCCCGGGTTGAGTCAGCCCGACTAAATTTGCATATTCTAAGGGTACGTATGTTAAATAAAAATTATTCAGCATGAAATTATCTTTCAAAAGATGTATATTCTATGTGGTTTTAGCAACATTAAAATTTTGAACCACTACTGATCAGTGCGCCATTATGGTATTTGCCCAAATAAGGAATTCCCAATATCCAATTGATGGGGCTTTTTCTGGTCATTTCCAACTTAGTATAGAACATCTGTGCCAAATTACAGCTTTATATTATTTTTATCCGTTTTTATATCTAATTCCACTACACTATAAAGGACTTAGACTTCAAACATAGATACGAGCTAGAATCAAGTATAAAGGGGGAGAAAAACAGCGACAAAAGGAGGCTGTGGATAGAAAGGAGCTGAGAGTGCCTGAAAACTATTCAGCTCAATAGTTACTTTTCGGCTTGTAGAAGCAAGCGAGAACGTCCCTAAAGATGAGAGTGTTACTGCCCTTGAATTGATTCAAGGCGTGGACGCTAGACCAACTTTGAGGGAAGGAAAGAGAGGGTTGTGGCGGTAACTGACTAGTCTTTAACGGTCCTTGTTCTGCAAATCTCCCAATGATCAAAGGAGGAGCGTATTATCACAAATGCATAATATGTTATATGTGTTACAGGTCATTTTATTTCAAATTTTGCTGACACGAGTCTCCTGGTTGTTTTTACAAACAGTGGTACATCTTATTGAAGGAATCGTTTTCCAAAGCAAATCTCCAATAATTCTCCTCTAACTTTTAGGTTTCTCAAGAAATTGCATGAATGAAGGATTCTAAAAACGACATGGCGGACACAAAATCGGATAACCCCCCAGATGTAGTACAAGATGCCCCCACTGGAAAGTCGAGTGGGGAGGACGACGGAGGCAATGCGACTGCAAGTCCGGCAAGCAGCCCAACAGAAGGCAAATCTGATAACTATTTTTCAAGAAAAATTGGAAGTGTTTTGAATAGAAGTCTAAGGTAAGCTCTATCAGAGTTGCACTGCGAATCTTTATTGATGCGAGAAATTAGAGTATAAATACAATTATCAGAACGATAATAACTTCTATCGTCCTGGTTGTCATCGTTCTCATTATTATCATTGCTATTAACCGTTTTATCATTACTGTTTTACATATCTTCTATATTTGCTACTTATAAAGGCATTTTTGAATTTGAACGTTTGTAAATTTATAGAGTTGTTGAGACTACATTCAGTCCAAGTGATATTGCTCTTCTTAGAAGTGTAAGCTAGACATGAGCAAAGACGAAAGGTGCCTTTAAAATTTCAAAATGTGCCTTTAACCTGAAGTAAAGCCCTTGCAAGATTCTCCTTTCTACCCTTCCCTGTATGCCATTGATAAGTACAACACGCACGTCAAGGGGCTACATTCTTAGTTCCAGAAAAGTTTGGTATACTTGAGAAAGGCTCTTGAAATACAGGGTGTGGCTAATTTTTTGTGAAATGAGTAGCCCAGTCCATTGTTTCTTAGAAAATTCAAGAAGAGTGGAAGTCAAGAAAAAGCAGAATCAGAAAAACAAAATGGACATGACAGTGAGGACCACTCACCGACAAGCAAATCGCCACAAAAGTCTCCTCGCTCGCCAAGGACACCAAAAACACCCGACGGCACGAAACAGAGTAAATTCCAGCGCATTTTTCGATCGAGTAAGCGAACAAAATCAGCTGATTACGTCGAAAATGAAGGTAAGACAACATTTTACATGTTCAAGTCCGACTCAAGATACATTTTGACTTGAGCCTTCGTTTGATTTCAGGGCCCAGAGGAAATTTTTGGGGCTCTGTATGTAACTTTACTTTATTTTGGATCTAAGGATATTTATTGTTGCTGCTAATTGAAAATTGTTTCGAAGGTTTTTTTGCTCTTTTGTTTTTGTATCTACCTAGCTTCCGAAGCTAGTTTTTAACAGGAGGAACTATCCTTAAGGAGCTGGGTGCTGGCTCGTCCACTTGATGTGTCCAGATATGGTGATTATTTGCCTGGATATACAGAGAGGTGGCAATTGTCTTCGTCACCACCTCTCTAAGTAATAGTTTTGTCATTGCAGGGGCGCGAACTCCAAAAACTTGGATATGGGGTGTACGACCCTACCCACTGAGCCTGTGCCAAACTAGAAAATTTTGATCTTAGTTTTTCATGAATGTTCTTGGGCTGTTTTGATCTGTCTTTGCAACTCTTCTTTGACCGAAAATTTCTGTAACAGACTTTTCTAATTAGCCAATGTAGTCAACTTGATCCCTGTCAGAAAATGTCTTGCATGCGTGCATATAGTGGTAAGGGAACGTTGTACCGAAATCTTTCAGATAATATCGAGTAGAAAGCTTTTTAGTACATTAGTTTTATAAGCCTCTTAATGACTCAAAGGATGACAGAATGAGTGCTAGCATATGCATACAGAACTCTCCAGGATTGACTTGGCAAACACTTTCTTATGTATTGGCAAAAATGTTTTTGACACACCTTTGTAAATATTGTTTCTGAAACCAACGGGCATAAAGTCATAATGGTGAGTTCATTTGCATTGAAATCACACTTGAATTCTTTTCTGTTGCTGAACAGCCTAAGATATACCCAGCAAGAACAAACGTATATTCATGTTAATAGTTTGTTAAAGGTCACGTAAACATCCAGTTCAATGAAAACTGATGCTTTTTGCTAATGCAACGTTTCTAAAGGGAATTACAAAAAATACTGGATCATACAAAGTATTTGTTTATTAAGGCGTACTCTTTTTATAAGAAACCAGTAAACTAAAGTTTCAGGCTGACTGTTCTAAGTATTTTCAAAAAAAAGAGGCTGGATTGTTCTTAATTTGTTATTGAATTAATAGGGTACAGAAGGATGTCTCATTTAAATAACAGTCCTTCATTTGCCAACAATTGATTTGGAAAATCACCGAGAGAACACCCCTAGATAGCAAAAATCACCGAAAAGAACTTTACGGTTTAAGATTAATTCTCTAAGGAAATTTCAGAATATTTCCAAAACTCCATTTTCCAGTAGCTCAGCCTCAGCTTGTACTCACTCTGTTCTTAGCATTTTGACCAATTATGAGGCCCGTGTTCATATAAAATTGTTCTTATGAAAAAGTGTATGTAGCCAAAGACCGATATACAACATTTTGTTTGGGGGGGCAGCCCTCTCAAGTCAGGGTAACAACAACTTTGGGTGCCCCTACCGGTATCTCGGTCCTTGTATGTAGCTGTTCACTTTAGGATGCTGACCTTGATGTGGTACTTTGAAATGAAACAGCAGAAAGATCATACTCAGGTGCAATATATCTTCGCTCCTTTAGGCCCATTTCAAGGCAAAAAATGTCACAACTTTCCCGTGGTCTCATGCAGTTTTCATTTGCATTCTTAGGACACCTTTTTTGTATTTTTCACAAAAAGTCGCATATTTGACGGTAGAGAAACCTTCAATCGTAAGCTCATAGCTCATAGATATCAAATAATTTTAAAACTTATTTTTATGAGTCTTATCAGTAGAAAATTTAAAAACAAACAATTAGCAAAACACTTTCCTGACAGGTTCTCTAATATATCAATCAATATTAACGAGCGGTTGATATCCTAATAAGAAGTATATCTCAGGAAAATCCACTTAAATTTGATTATTTGGATTAAAACGGACTCGGACTTTAACATAAAGAGTATTTGGGTTAACACGGACTAATGCTTCCAGGACACGTAAAGAGTCAACAGGTTGTCTCAAGCAATGACAATTCCATTTAAAGTAAGACTGCATGCAATATCGAAACATGTGACAAGGACATTTCCTTCATTCCATTATCTTATGATACAGTTCTTAACTTGGCAATTGGTTATGTTTTATACGCTAATTGTGTCGATCTTGTCACACCAAATTTAAACAGCCCTCTGGCTAATTGGTTTTATAACCCCTAGTCTGTGGTTAAAAGCATAGGCTTTACGCAGAGGCAACCCTGGAGGTAGGACCCTGCATGATAACAATGAGAGTTATGTAAAAAAATATTTTAGAACTAGTATCAAGTCCCATTCCTAATTTTGCGGCTGGCCAAAATGCATTTGTCGACCCCAGTCCCCTGTCTGAAAACCGTTCTCGAGGCTCGCTCCTCCGGAAAGAACTATCTGAAGTATGTCGCCGTGACAATATGAACAGCATAGGAGTAGGTATGTGGTTTTATCTGTATTTGAATGACTAAAGATTATTGTCTACGAGCAACCAGACGCGTGAGAATAGAAGCAAAACAACTTTGTTGTAATCGATTGCCAGGCGGAACTTTCTAGGCAATTTTCACGATGAATCTTGGTTATTTGAGGCAGAAATGGAAGATCCGCAAAGGTAAGATGATAATACGAACCGGTAAATGATTATGAATTCTTATTTCAACCTGTAAGCGCTCAGTATATGAGTATCCAATATCTAGATTCTGCGACTGTTTATTTTTTCGATCCATGAAGATACTGCGACAATTTTCATGCGCCCATTTTACTTGAATCTGGATGTTTAGAGGCAATATTGCTGCATTCTTCTGCATAGTAATTGCTGATGAGAACTGCTAAAGTTGAGTCAGTTTCATAATTTAGATGTTTTCGGGTTTGTTTGTTTTTAATGTTTGCTGAGTCTTGGCTGGGCTATGCAGTAAAAATGAGTCATTTTTATCTACAAAGTTTGTCTGTTTTGGCAATGAGCTCGTTGCATTCAATTTCTTTAAATTTCAGATTAGATTATATTCTTGATCGGATTTTTTAATGTTTTGATTTTGGATGACATAATTGTTATCACCTTATGAGACGTGCAAATCATCGATTAAATCATTTCATAACTCGAAGGGCACCCTCTAGCAACCCTTGGCTTCTATTTTATGCATCAGGCATCTCATTCACAGCCTTGTAAAGATCGGGATTTCGAGGCTTGTTTTGCTGCCTTTTTGCTCTTTCTAGATAGGACCGGCTTGAAAATATGAGCAGGCATACTTCGAACTGTTCCCCGTTCTACCCATTCAAGATCTCGCCGTGCTGCCAACCCCCTCAATCGCCCCCAGGTGCAAGCAGGCAAATTATGCTTACTACCTCTGTCATGAGAAGACAAAGATGGCTTGCGTTTCTTACCCTTGGTGTTACAGGCACAATAACTTTATCTTAGAAACCTAATCCAAATCTAGTCTCGGCAGTATATTTAATGTTTGAGGTTCCAACATATCTGTCTATACCACATCGTTGGTGTCATTATTCTGGTACCTTGAGTATGTTTTCCTTTGTTGGATATCATCCACAAGTCTTTTGTGTTATTGCAACAAATTACACCAACGGAATTTGCAAATATCAGAACTTATTCAAGAATGTGTGAATCAGATTCGTTTGCGTTTTAATTGCATTTTAATGGCAATCAATCAGGTGGACGGTGCACGATTACCAACGCCCATTACAACGAATTCAAAGCTGATATGAAAAGATTCATTGGTGAAATGCCAACATTTTGCTGAAATGCATCTAAGCCGTTATTGAAGACACCGTGTTTTGTGCATCAGCTACAAAAATGCTACATGGATTGACTGTCAGAGAAATACCGCTGGTGTCAGTTCTAGATTAATGACTGGTCAAGTGCAGATAAACGTGCGAGACCGATGAGAGGTTTGGGGTCTCCAGGCCCCTGGGAGTTTTTAAAGGGGGCTCAGTGACCCCTAGCAGCTTTTAATTTAAGAAGTCCCTTATCAATAAACAAAAAAGATGCCTTTTTTAGTATTTGGGGTTTTCCATCAAACGGATCCTTTTATCTCGTTTACTTGTAAATTGTTCGCATCGAATTGAAGTATTAACATTTTAGAAATTATCCAAACCCCTTTGCATTTCCATAACACTATTTGCTTTTTGAATCTTAATCATAACTCAGTGTCTGTGATGCCAATGCATATGGTGTATTGATACTTTTTGCAAAAGATAGATTCATACTAAAGATAGACATGAACCAACCCCTGGTTTAAATATGAGAGTCTAGTGGAAGAGGCAATTTTTGCATATCTAAGATCGCAACCATTGTGTAGTGTGGAAAACTACCGTGGTTTGGAATTTAGTTTCAGCTGACCAGCGAAATTATTTGGTCTTTTGGTTAGCTACAGACTGCTGCGTGTTACCGAATTCAATTATTCCATATTGAAAACGGACATCAAAGACATCTTATCAAATGAGCATTCAAAACACGATTCTTGAGTTTGTCATTATTTTCTGGATAATCCCTCAACTGGCCCTCTTGTCACAAGTTTCCCAGCAAATCCACACTCGTTCTTATTTTTCGCTTTCGGATTGAAAAAACTTTGCAATTCAAATTAAAACTTACAATCCCCAAATCTCTCTTTTTGATGGCTTAAAAAGAGATTATATTTACATAAAAATTCATGACTTCTACAAGACGTAGGTGAGAATATTTCGTGCGCTTTGATTTTGTTATCTTTTGTTTCAAAAGCTAACAGTCTTTTATTCATGAAAGTTTTCTAAAAGGAACGCCATTCAAATTCATTGTAAGACAAATAAGCTGACATTTTCTTTGATTTCTTTATATCCAAACTGTCTTTGTGCTGAAAACTAAATAGAATAATATTTAGTTCCACGTTTTATTTATTGTCTGGCTGTTTTTTAGCTCCTCGTATTGGATACTAGACAATTCTTGGAACTTCTTCTTTGTTCCGTATTTGCTCAGTTTTGAAAACATTATGAAGAAGCAGGAAAAGATCTTTCTATCGTTTATTCGTAACTAAGCAACGAAGTAGAGAGATCACCCATAGATGAATACGTCATCAAAAGCCTAGTTATACTTGTAGAAAGTTATGGGAACTTGCAGATAAACAAGATAACCACGTTAAAGGCTTAGAGATGTAATTCAGGTACAGGAAGATTAAGGGGTGAGTGGCTGGGGATAAGGGCTACCCCCCCCCATCATAACAAATTTAGCGGAAAGTTTAACAAATTTTTCAGCCTTGTTGGAATTTGTGGAAAATACTGTTCTTCAATGCCCAGAAAATTAAAATCTCATTGCACCCCCGAGTCTATGCTGTATCAAAATGGGAATGCAAGCAAGTTTACACATGCTTTGATGACGTAGGTTAGGTACCGGGGTTGCCAGAGCCTCAGAGAGTCAAAGAATTGGCCTAAAAAGTAGGAATTGAATGCCTTCTGCCGGGAAATTACATGCTTACTTCAACCATCGTATGTATATTTCCCACAGACAGAAATTGGGCAGAATCTTTCAAATTTCCCGAGAAAAACATATCTCCGATACAAAACTTTGTTTCTAACAGATACTCTTGAGTTCAATAGCGGTTGATCCGAAGATTGATCATAGAAAAATAACTCTCCGATTATGAGAGCAATAATAAGTCTTAATAATAATCGTCTATCGTCGAAGAGCGTAAAGACTAACTATCGAACTAACTAATACTACTCCTCAAATCGTACAAATGCTACTTTTATACATTTTAAATGGAAAGTTCCAGAATAAACAAGAAATCACGGGAATTAATAGGTCAAGCAGTTACAAAGGAATGCCGCTTTACGAATTACAAAGGAATGACGCAACATTTCTATAATTAGTTCATTACGAAGCTTATTGTTCTTTTTCATAAAGTGTCTACTCAGCATGTCTAATATCTTTATTGTTTTTTCTGTCAATGCGTTCATAGTCGCAGCAGGATGCCAGCGTTCTAGAAGTTTCGAGTCGTTTTCTTCTGTCCATTCTCCCCCTCTTTGATGAAAACTGTCATCAAACACCACTGTCCACTACTGAACTCAAGGGGACACAGTCTTGAAATCGGTCGTTTTATCTCCTTTGCTCCTACTTTCACTTGAACTACTCGAACATGTCCATCGCTTCCTGGGAAGACTTTTACTACACGCCCCAATGGCCAGTTTCCTCTTGGGGTATCTGGTGATATTATCAACACAACATCATTCACCTTTAAATCGCCTTGTTCTTTGTTCCATTTACGGCGCGGCGATAAAGATGGCAACCACTCCTTCATCCAACGCTTCCAAAAGTGACGTACTAGCTCTTGCACTCGTCTCCATCGTCTTGAAGGATGGTAATCTTCGGTGTCGACTTTTTCAAGATATCCCTTTCGTAGATATTGCTGTATAATCTCATTATAGCTATTACCCAGCTGTTTGTCTCTCAAAAGTCTCTTCTCCGTGTTTGCTAATCGGTTCAAAGCCATTTCGTAATTGTCATCAAGTTTTCTTTCCTTTTTCCATGGTATTCTAATTTCATACCTTCCATCATGGTATTCCAATGAGTTCTTCACCATTTCCAGTGCTTCAATGTCTTCAGGGCACATCAATGTCTTGTCTTTTATACTTTCATCCCCTTCAATCTCCCATAACTTTCTAATCGTACTGTTTATCTTTATCAATTCTCTGTCGTCTTTTGGTGACATCACAAAGTTGGTTGAAATAACTTGCCCATTGCAATCACCTACACAAGTCCACCCAAGTGGTGTCAGCCGGGCCACTGGTTCATTTGCTTTCCCCTTTACCTCTCTCTGTGCACAGTGAAGATCAGCATGGTCCACACCAATTAAGATGTCAATCGTTGGCTTTGGTCCAACACTGGGAAATTTGATATCTTTTAAATGCTTCCAGTTGTTTGCCATTTTTATCCAATTAACAGCTCTCAAATTGCCTGTAACTCGGTTGACTGTTAATGCCTGGATCTGCGTTTTCAGCTTTCCATCCAAGGACTCAAGTTGAAATTCAACTGGCATTGTCTCAAGAGAATCAGCTACACCATTAAGCATACTGACTGTTACATTTTGCCGTTCACCTTTCAAGTCCAGTTCTGTTGCCACATCGCTATTTAGATAGGTTTTCGTGCTTCCATCATCTAACAGAGCGTTAACCACAATCTTCTTATTGCCATTCTTTAAAACAACTGAAACAGTTCTTAGTGACACAAACTTTAATTCATCTTGTTTTTCTTTAGACAATGTTGAAGTATGGGAACTTTCAACTGACTCCCCCTCATGCCCTTTCTCAGTTTCTCTTGTCTTTACTTTGTCAACCACATCCTCTTTGTTCTTGTGAAGGAGACGATTATGTGTATCAGTGCACCCGTCGATACCACAAATTCGACTATTTCTGCATGCTCTTGCCAGGTGGTTGCTTCTCAAACACTTAAAACAAAGCTTCTGCTTCTTTGCAATTTCCCATCGCTGGTTCACTTTTTTTCTTTTGAAGGCACTGCAGTCCCATATCATATGATCATTTTGACAAACGTAGCATTTCCTCAAGAATTTCAACTTCTTTGATCGGTCATCTGCTCCAAAGAATGAACTGCTAGAGTTTTTGGGTCTTGTAACCATGTTCTTATGAAAGCCGTGAATTGTTTCTGCGGCTGCTACTTGAAATTCTGCTTCCTCAATAATAAACTGTCGCAGCGTTTCAACATCTTCATTCTTTTGATGCTCGTAAACCCAGCGCTTAAATCTTGACAGCATTTTCTCAGTCATTTTTCTCAACAACTTGTGGTACAAAGTTCCACTACCAAGTTCTTCTGTTCGTTTTGCTTCACGAAGGTTAGTAACTGCTACATCCAATAAGTCTGCGAACCTTTCTATATCTCTCGGATGATCTTCTCTGATAGGTTTGAAGTTGTCCAGTTCGTCCAGGTAGATCATCACTTTCCGTCTTGTCCCACCATATTTTCTTTCAAGTCTTTCTTTTGCTGCTTCATAGGCGAATGCTGAATGACCCAGACCATCAATTGCACTAAGCGCTTCGCCAGAAAGATATTGACGCAATTGTAGTAGCTTGTATTCAGCAGTAGCAGGTGCTTGATCTATACAGGCTGTAAATGCTGCCTTCCACATCTCATACGTCTTTTTGTCACCATAAAACACTGGAATTGACACTCGTTTTAGCTGTTTCCACAGATCTTGTCCAATATCTGCAGCTTTACTGTTAATATGCCTTGCACTTTGAGCCTCTTGTTCGTATACATTACGATTATATGCATTTACACAAGGTCTTTCTATCATAAAATTTGCCGTTTCATTATCAGCTTCTCCATGGTCCATACCAAGTTCCGTTTCGATCTCTGTTTCAAGCTGCTGATGACATTGCTTTGTCTTTTTTGAAGCTTCTTGTAGCTTTATTTTTTGGGCTGCCAGTTCTTGTTCTAGCCTGGTCTTTTCAGCTCTGTATTTTTCTTCCAATTGTTGTTGCTTTTGTCGCAGTATATGTTCCTTAGCCTGGAGCTCTTCTCTGACACGTTTTTCTTGTTCACGGGCTCTAGCTTCACTGACGTAGAGCTGACTCATCTTACTTGAAACTCTTGTCCCAATGCTGGATCCATCTCCTTTGTGACTTGCGAGATACCCATTTGCATCTTTCATGATTTTTTCAAATTCGTTATTAATCTCTTCAATCTCGTTGTTGATGAGTTCTACATTCTCATTATCATTAAATTTTTCGTATTGATGTGATAGTTCAACAAGCACGTTGATTACCTGTTCTTGTTGATCAGACAGCTTTGCTCTCAGGCTTCGTACTTCATTTTGACTAGATAACTCATCTTCGGCAATGGACTCGATTAGTTGATGCTTGATGCGAGTGAACGATGATTTTTCCACAGCTTTCTTCCTTTTCAGTTTCGATATTTCAGCTCGAAAATTCATTGATTGTTCGTCTTCCTCTAATTCTTTATTCTTCTCTTTACGGCCCTTCTTTTTTCCAGCCATTTTCCTCTAATGATTATCATTAACGACTTGAACTCAACTACCCTCTGCTACCAAATTATGATCCGAAGATTGATCATAGAAAAATAACTCTCCGATTATGAGAGCAATAATAAGTCTTAATAATAATCGTCTATCGTCGAAGAGCGTAAAGACTAACTATCGAACTAACTAATACTACTACTCAAATCGTACAAATGCTACTTTTATACATTTTAAATGGAAAGTTCCAGAATAAACAAGAAATCACGGGAATTAATAGGTCAAGCAGTTACAAAGGAATGCCGCTTTACGAATTACAAAGGAATGACGCAACATTTCTATAATTAGTTCATTACGAAGCTTATTGTTCTTTTTCATAAAGTGTCTACTCAGCATGTCTAATATCTTTATTGTTTTTTCTGTCAATGCGTTCATAGTCGCAGCAGGATGCCAGCGTTCTAGAAGTTTCGAGTCGTTTTCTTCTGTCCAGCGGTGATAATATAAACCTTTGCCTAAATCTGATTTGTGATTTCTTTCTTATCTTAGCTGAAAACTAGCCCCGATTTTTGTAACTTGGCAGCAACTAACCCAGGAATCTTAATATGTACAAAGACGTTTCTGACATGATAAGCTTTGTTTTTGAAAATCTTTTGATTTCTGGCTATGTGCTATCGACTAATTCTCGAGCAAGCTATAGCCTTTACCGGGTATCTTTCTTTTTCAGCTGCAAGCACTTCAAATATACTCGATAGTGATAAAGAACCGGTCAAAGAGAAACACACCCCGTTGACCAAGTATGGGGAACAGAAGCAAATCGTAGTTGATGGGAAAGGTAAGCTAGAGCGATTCAAATAAACTAGGAAAGACCACAAGTCGTGTCCTTTCCAACAGGTGGTGGTGGATCTTGAAAATAAGATTTTACCGATGAATATATATGCGAAAAATATTTTGACAAAATATGGCCGACCAACCAGCGATTTTACCACTCCACTGATGAAAAGCTTGGGTTGGCGTAACGCACAGACACGCCCTTGCTTACGTCAGCAGTGACTAAATACCCCCCATATTTTTCATAGGTTGGTTAATAAAGATATTTTGTGAAGGGGAGGGGCTTCATTTGAAGTTTTGTGGAGGGGGGTGGTTTGACGTTTCAGGCTGTTTCGCCTTTGTAAATCACCAACGCGATTAGATTTACATCGCTCTTAGAGACTCTATAAAGAGCCTCTATATTCCCTGCAAAAGAGATATTTACCTTAAACTTTAATGTTGATAAAGCAAGTTTTAACTTTGTTTAAACAAGTTTTAACATAAGTTGGACAGCCCCAAAGACAATTATTAGCAAATAGCTGTTCTACATTGGACTGCATGCAACTGTTAGTATATATTTATCATTTCTCAAGCCTTCCTCTAACTCAGATTACAAATACCTACAGGTTTCTCTTTTGATATCTGGGTTAATTCTCGTTTTTCACAGCAATGACAGAAATTGAAGTTACTGGAGAGAAACAACAAGAGACTCTTCCAGAAACAAGAAGACACAGAAGGATATCAAAGTCAAGACGAAAAGCCGAGTTTGAAGGAGATGAGTTGAAAGTACAGTGTAGAGATCTCAACCCTGTTGATTATGAAGGATGGCTTTACAAAAAATGTAGGCACTGGAGTGTTTTCCTATATTTTCAATACGAGGGTATTGAAGAAAGTGCTAAATGCTCTAATTGACTGTTCTTTCATACACAGACTTCTAAAAAATGAGAGGGTGGGGACAAAAAGTCGGCCACATGGTCACACCCCCTTTGTTTTTCTCCATCGTTTTATCGGCAGTTCCCTTACGCAACTTATTCAGTAACACTTCCTTTAGGCCTACATATAGCTAGGTTAAGAACTGTTTATTTGTTCTTATTTCCATTTTTAGGAAGCATATTTCATTCTGAGTTATTTCTTTTGAAAACTATAAAAACCTTTACAGACAGTCAAACTACCGCGAACCTGCATATGATTAATCATCACTTTTTAAAATCACAGTTTGCTTATAGTTTACACATATATCACTAATATATAGGCGTTTCAAACTCTAATGAAGCTTATGCCTGGATGAAAACCAGTTCTCCCCAAGATGCCTTCTTTTAAAGGCTCCCCACATGCTGACGATACAGTCAATGCGTAAGCTTTTTTGATAACAAACGAACTTGAAAATGATTTGTTTTCTTGCTTATAGCCGGTGGCACTATGTTGAGCACTGTTGTTTGGAAACAGTGTTGGGTCGTTCTGAAGCATGGCATTTTGTATTTATACAAAACATCCTTCGACATAGCTGCACAGCACGCGTACAGTGTCAGGAATTTCAGCGTTGCGCCTGTTGAGGAGAAAAAAAAATTGTAAGCTCATTCATTTTTTTAAAGAGTCGTTCTACAAGTTAATGGTATGCTGTGTTTATGGCTGTTGCACCCTATGAGACAGTGGTGAACGCTTGTCGTATTAATGGGAGGGGGGAAAGTAGCTTCGTTTTGTAAACAATAACAATGTCTCCAATATTAACAAAGTCAAGGCTCATCAATATTGGTCTTCGTATTTCTGAAAGACTTCAACCCTCCTCTTTCTTCCCTCCCTTCAATGATCGCTGCTTACAGCCTGCCTAATCAGTAGAAAATTCAATCAATCCCAATATATACCAAACACGCAAACGGATTAATTGTATCAAGAAAATTTATGAAAAACTGTAATAACTTGTAATAACCAAACATGCAACCAGATACCAGTGAACAGTTCCGTATGTAATTATGGCTGAAGAAAGTTAACAAAACACATAACGCCTTAGTTGCAAAGGTGGATAGATCTAGCCTTTTTAAACTCTTACTTTATACTGCCTTTTATATATTTATCATAACCTTCGCAAATGGATTGCTAAAAATTTTGTTAAATGCCTCTATAATCATAAATTCCCCAACCCTCATTATGAAAGAAAAACAACTGTGAATCTGAAAACCAGTCTTAGCTTGGTACTGCCCTTTACTGTTGGATATCTCCAAAGAATTTGCGATAGAGAGGTATTAATACGATATGATTGGATGATTACGTTGTTTTGACCCCCTACATCTAAGTTCTCGTTGTTCTGCCAGCAACATAGGTCATAGGGTATTCACACGATGCTAGCATTCACAATCGTGTGAATATCCTGCTTTTCCGTTCTCTCACAAGCTGGTGTCCAGTCTCGCTGTCTATTTGTAATTTTATATTCATATCTTTCAGCACTTGTCATAATACGTACACATTTATGTTTGTAGCACATTTAAACTTGTACCAAAGAACGTGCCCCCTGAAGCACTACAAGATGCTAAAGGGGTTGTGTTTTCGTGCGAGTCAAATGCAGATGTAGAGAGGTGGTGTGACGTACTCAACAAAGCCGCCCTTGGGTTTATCATACAGCCTTCGCCACGCCCAGAAAAAGGTATGCCGTTACAAATTTCCTTTGTTAGGTGTTAATTCAGTTTCACAAGGACGGCTGAAAATCTAGAGAGTCATGGCAAAGTAGTTTTTCCAGATTAGCCTAATTTCCTTGCTGCGACAAATCGCTTTTGAATGTGAGCTGCATTTGCAATCATTGAGGCAGCTTAGGTTTGCATCCAATGGAAAGCATCTTTAATCTGGTCTTTCTAACAAATAGACATCTTAATCAAATAAGATCGGAACAGCTTTGCTCTTAAAGTTCGTAATTTTTCGCATTCTTAACATCCCATAAATTGACCTTTCACTTGGATCTCCTTCAAGCTGTTTAAAAGATAGAAGAGTATGTGCCATGAGCTCATCAGTGCTCTACATGCTGTAGCAATGCGTCTGATCAGAGGTTTTTAGCTCTTTTTTATCTGCACAGTGCAAAATTTTAGACTTATAAGCACTTCAATGCATATTAAAGATATAGGAAATACACTGGATCAGAAATATTCTGTGCAACTATGTTACATTTCTGTTTTCCGTTATTGTACATGAATTATTAAAACTGTTATGGTAAGAAATTACTACGAGACCCAAGACATTTGCGACAAAGAATTTAAGATTTGAAATAACTGCTAAATATCTAGTTTTAACTTCTTACTCATTTTGTTACACGGAAAATTTATTTTTTGGAGATAGATAAACAGCATTTTTAACGTTACCTAAGCTAACTTTAAGATTTTTCAGCAATACTTCCAATAATTCTTCTTCTTCTCAAAGTGTTCATAAAACGAAAGATAGCTTGGGCCTTCCAGTGCTGGGGAAAACTTCAAATCATGTCTTTAAGAGAGTCATCAAAGTCAAGTCCTTTTGTTTTGGGCTGGTTTCTTATTTGCAGTATTTGAAGTCAAAATCAATTAGCCTCAAATAGGCAATTGGAGTAGATGGATAGTTTTATTCGCCAAATCATATACACACTTTAATGTTATCCTTGTCAGAAGTAAGGTTGCTTTTCTATTATCCTTGCCCAAAAGTTTCTCTGAAAAGGAAAACAAAATGCTATGACTATATCGCTTTATGTTCACTTTAATTGTTAACTGCTAACTAACATTTGTTTATTTTCTCTCCTCCAAATAACCTCTGATAATCAATAACGCATTAAAGAAGAGCCAGTAAGAAGGAGGTGTCAATCATCTGCAGTTAGAAGACACAAACCTAACGCTAATGGTGTAACTGGACATAGAGCTAGATCAACTACTTTTACAGGGGAGACAACTGGACTGCCTTCCACATTCAACCGGCATGGTGGCGCACCAAGGGTACGTAAAATCAGTGGATCAGGATCGTCTTCTGTATTGGCAGGTAAGCTGATTTTCATTTTACCTAACGGCCGGTGATCTTGTTCAGACGAAAATCTATTTCACTTGGATCTTTAAGGGTTATTAGTTTCTCACCATTACATTACTTGAGCTAAATGTCTTGTTTCTAGACCCACAAGCAACTTACGATCAACCCGAGGCTCGACGTTTGTATCAAACGCTTTATATAGATAGAACTTTTCTTTCTACTTATGCTTTAAGATTTTCATGTAGGTTATATGAAGGTAACAACATTGCCTTTGATTCGATCTTGAAGCTTTTAAAGGGCATTTTTCCCTATTAATCATTCATATATTAAAATATACTATATATCTTTTCAAAAAAGAATAAGGAAGATGAATAATTGGTAGACGGATTGTAATCTTGTATAAACTTTCAAACAATACAGAAGTTTAGGGCAGATTGAATTGATTGGAACAAAGGTGCGATTCCTTGAGCCAAGAAGCTAGCAGCAGAATCGATTTGCCAACAGCTTTTAGAATACTTTTTCTGATTGATAGCTGGAGATGGACTGTTTCTGCTCACAAAAACAGTGATCGAATTTTGTAACCCACCTAGCTCTTTTGCCCAACACATAGTGTAACCAAAGTAACTTAGCACTCTCAAAAAAGTACACTCAGGAAGGAAAAAGGTTGGTATTTTGAGTTGCCTTAACGGGCTAAAAGCCAATTTTCGATACCTAATATTCTGTTTATCAATTTTCTTCCAATTATAGACATTTAGTTGACAGTTGCTTACATTTGGTTACATCTTTGTACTATTGTATTTAATTGGTTTTCGTAAAGCTACCAGTTTCGCAGGGCTTGCTCTAGATAGGCAAGTGAATTCTATTGTTTCTGCATTTTACTGAACTCAGTTGACATATGTGCTCAAGACAGATATTGCGCTGCAAAGCTTTAGAAAGTTTGAAATTAGATAAAAATTTCCAGACTTTCCTTTCTAAAATGTGTTACCGAAAATGCACTGGATGAATTTCTTTTGATTTTGATTTGAGTTGGATTGATTGACTATCTGTAGCAGAGCAGTGTTCAGTCCTGTCTTCTCGAGGCTACATTCTAAAACCAGCTTTATAGGCTACTTTATAGCTGCTTCACTTGAATCAGATATGTCCGGCTACGATCGGACAAAGCATGGGTGTGTAAATTCAAGGCAGGATAACAGACGCCCCCGGAAAATTCAACCTGTAGATAGGTATGCATTTATAAATCTGAATTATTTTCCTGGTACAGTTGGGAACATGTTCTTGGCTATTGACGACCCTGCAGACAAGAAAAGAAAGTCAAATAGCGACTTGTCATCTATTGTTTACAAGGAGCAGTTGGTCCAGGATAATAACACTTCGCCAAACACCAAGCAACAAATAGCAGCAACAACTGCTGAAGAGGATGATGAAGTTCGAATGCAGGTTAAAAAGGAGGTCGAGAGGATCAACAAACATTCAAAACCTACAAAGCCAGTGGAAGGGAAAGGGCAAACGGTTGCTAGTGCTAAGAAAGCAGATAAGATTAGGCAAGAAATTATGAATTTGAAAGAAATCGAATCTCAGAGAGTTAATAGCCAAGAAGAGGAGGGTCAGGATGCTGACAGTGATGAGAGAGAGGTCATTGAATCTGAGAATGAGACCAAAGAGGAACAAACCGAAGCCACAGAAGATCAAACTGAGTCTACAGAAAGTCCAACCGAGTCTACAGAAGGTCAAACTGAGGGGACAGAACATCAAACCGAGCCTACAGAAGACCCAACTGAGGGCACAGAAGGTCAAACAGGGTCTGAAGCTCAGACCGATGACAATAAAGATCAAGACATACTTGAGACTTCGAATACATACATATCGAAAAGAATAGATACAAAAAATGATAAAGTTGAAGCGGACCAAGATTTCCACGAGGATGCCTTTGCAGAGATACAAAAAACCATTGAAGTCGATTCGAGTGCTGAGGATCAAGAAACTGACGCAAAAACTGCATATCACTTTCCAGGCGATAGTGATATGAAGGAAGTAGAGGTAGAAGAAGTACCAGGAGACGCAGTACTTGTGTCGCATAATATTTCAGTGGAAAAGGATCCAGATAGCGGCATTGCAGTCGAAGACTACCTAAGACAACTAGAAACTGAACAGCATGATTTACCGGTAGAGGAGTATCTTAAGCACATGAGTGGAACAGAGGCTGATAAGAGTTTGGGAGAGTTGCAGTCTGAAGACGCGAAGGATATTCTGAAAGTTGAAAGTTGTCAAGGTCAGTCTGATGATCACGTGGCTGTTGAAGAAGATGAAGATGACAATAATGACCAACAAGAAGATTCCTCGGAATTTGAAGACGATGAGACTGATGAAGAAAACGAGCCAGAAGATAGGCCGAAAGGGATGATCCCAGCAAAACAGCAAAGAATGTTGATAGATGCTGTTTTGTCGCTTGATTACCCTAGTGACAGTGAGTCTGAACCAGAAGATGACGAAGAGATTTGTCACTTTGCTAAGATAGAGCGCCGATCGTTAGAGATAAATGAGGGTAAGGTTACAAAGCAGACCGAAGATGATGATGTCATCATATCTGCACCGCCTGGGTTTGGCGACGAAGAGGCAACCCACCAAGGCCACCTTAAGGTTAAAGATCATGATGTGCAGTATGGAGCAACGACGGAAGGAAAATCTGTGGTCTTTCATACATACATGAAAACAGATGGAGACCGTACAAACATTGATTTGAAAGCGCCGGAGGAGATGGAAACTGTGGAAGCGACAACGAGTGATGATATCTACCCAGAGGAGATTGGTTTCAATGAGGGAAATTTCGAAGAGAAAGAATTTCAGGAGGAATCTCGTTATGAAGCGACTGATGGTAAAGAGGCAGGCAATGAAATAGATGCTTTATTGACATCTAGGAATGATCCTCAACTTGAATTCGAAGAAATAAAGGCAAGAAATATTTGTTTATCTCATACAGCTAACTTGCTAATACAACAAAGAATACAGCCCTAATGTACTTCTTTTTTTATGCCTTAAGTGACAACTTGCTGACACCATATGTAACATCACTTTTAACAAAATTTTGTTATGTTTTTTCATGTGATGTAATTATTAACGTATTAGTATTCTACACAACATATTTAACACTTGTATGTAACTATCCATATAATTAACAAGCTAATTTATATTTTTCACGTCGTTAATAATGCTATTGTTAGTACTGGGAGCTAAAAAGCTATCAATGTAATCACACTACTTAACAGTTCAAGCCAAGATGAGTTGTTGTCGTTGACTTAGTCTGAAGCTAGCCTGTTATTTAAACGTTTGTATTGTTTGTTTTTGAATGTCTGTTATTTTACCTTATAAGTTTTACTAATATATATTAACTGTTGTAATCCAATAATATTTAATCAGTAACTGTGTAATTTCTTTTTCTTGTATTCTGCTGACTGGAATATAACCGTAGGGGGTGTGGGGATGAGATGTTTTGTTCCCACAGTCTTGGGGGTGTTGAATAATCCTAGTATATTATTACTGATCATTTTGTGATTTTTAGTAGCCCGAACTTGCCATCATTGATCATCCCATTATTATCATCATCATAATCAGTCTTCATCAACCATCACTGTTTATATCATCAATCATTAATCGTTGAAAATCATTAATCATCATCATCATTGTCAATCAGCATAATCTATACCGTTATCACTATTCTCCGAGCCAGCTTTCGTTGTCTTTGTTGGTATCACCATCACCATCATCATCCTAGTTAAATAACATCAACCAATCACCATCTCCAATCACAGTTAAATGACAGCCTTCTAAACTGTCAACTAATTTCAAATGAACCATTGGAAGTTCACATGATAATTTTTTTCACTCTACAGAAACAGGAAGCAACCTTGTCGAAGCCAACATATGACAAATTCGATGACACGCCAGTCTTAGTAATTGATTTAGAATCAAGAAATAATGAACTTTCTGGAGACCAAATTTATGATGGAGATTATATGCATACACAGGGAGAGAGTTCAGTGCTTATCAGTATGATTGGGTCATCCCGAGCTTCAAACGCATCGGAGGAGGATTCGCTTGATGGAGACAACTGTTTACGCGAGAAACAAAGCGATCAGGAAGCATCCAGAACTCGTGTGACATTTCTAAGCCCGCTTCATGACGAGCATCGAGGTACTGTTGCGAAGGAATCGGATTGCTGCGAAGATGACACTTCAACATCAGAAGACGAAACCGCCATTGATGAAATTGATTCTGCGGAGGAAGAGGTCCACTCCAAAGCTACAGTCAAAATCGTAAAAGTTTGTGTGACCCAAAGAGGAAATGACTCTGGTGACCAACGAAGACCCATTGGTGCAAAACCTGCTCATGAAAGTTCTGTTTAATAATTGTGGCTTAACATAGTATCGCATTTGAATTTGTATTCACGTAGAAGACTTGGCATTGTGTTTGTTTATGAATTACCAAAACAGGATTCGTTTTATAATAATTCTCACTTAATATATATGTCCATTTTCCCGAACATACAGTCCAACTGGGCTCATAACAAAGAAAAGCTAAAAGTTTTAGTTCTACGCTATGATAGGACCTTGATCGTTGTTTATAAGACAATAAAAATTCATTTTAATCAAACTCCACTCCAAGAATGCTATTGTCGCCCATTTATAAGCAATGGGCAACAACCGACGATCTTGCTTTTTATATACACCGTTGTATTCATAATTGTGGAAGATTCAGCTATTAAATACTTCCTATCCGTTGACCTTTATTGCCACAGGTTTATAAGATTTCATTTGCTTTTATGTCCAATTTTGCATATGCTTTTATGATCAGATAAACCTAGCAAAATATATCCAGTCACAAAGCTAGCAAATTAGCATCAATCACATTAAAAATAACTTTAGCATTAGAAGGAAGCTTGCTTCTCCCTATAGTGTGCTCGCCTTGCTGTGTTTACTGTTCTTATTAATCAAATTTTTATCGTTCTTCTTTACCGGTTGGATTTGTAGCAGCTCTATTGATTAGGGAGAGAAATAACAAACTTTATGTAAAGCCTCTTCTAACTATGTATGTATTCAATAAATGAATAGAAAAATTTAATCATTATAATTTATTTATTACTAGCTTGTATAAAGATCGCGTTTGGAAATTTCTTACTTCTTGTTCAGCCCCACCGTTCATTCATTACTGCTGCATGGTTTTCGAACTTGTCTCTTAGAAATGTGCCCATTTCTATCTATTCTTGAAGGTCCTAAATAGTTATCAGGTTTTATGCTCTTTCACCTTTAATTGACTATTTCTACGTTTGGACCCAATTTTACAAGTAACCAAGAAAAATCCCACTGAAATTAGTAAAACGAGCTCTGACTGCTGGAAACTGATTTTAACAGGCAGGTATTAGAAAAAGAATGGCAAAAACGAAACAATTGTTAATCATTCATGAGACAGTAATGACAGGCAGCGTTCTTCTATGATAGCATTAAGCTTGAAACTCTGACAGATACAGCTAAACTTGATTAATTGCCCCAAAGAGCCTAGAATCAAACGAAAATTATTTGAAAAACTCAGAGAAGCATTTGAAAAACGACACTTTGATAAGGGTTAAAACTATTTACAGGGTCGTCTTTACGGGCAGAGCTAACGAATGGAGTAACCAACAGAAAACTCAACAAAATTGCAGTAGAAGGAAACATCTTTCATTTACGGTTTTAATTAATTCTTCGAACCTAGAAAGTCACCTGGAAAACAGAAAAGTGGTTTTGAATTTTACGATAAAGAGCAGTAACTGGTAGATTTTATCAAATTATCGTTTTGTGTTCAGAACCAGTCGACTCAATTTGGAGAATTACTTTGGCCAAAACCTTTTCTACGGCCAAAACGTTTTTCGAACACTTTGAATTAATGGTTGCTAGAACCTAAAAGTAGCATCTTTATTATTTCGGACAAGATGATACGCGCAAGGAACGGTGAAAATGACAAACATTCATTGCGACTTTGTGACTGTTTCACGTTTTTGTATAGGAAGCTTCGTAATCACTTTTTCCAAGATTGCTTAAGCAATGATATTGAAGCGCCGAAGGCGCTAGATGTCTAACTCACAGGTCCGCTGTGTGGCAAATTTGTTTTCTTCCGCCATTTTGAATAGTGACGAAAAGGAACTTGCTCAATACCGAGCCCTTATAAATTTGTAAAAGTAAGGATTGATTCCGTTCACTTTTCTTTCAAATATCGATGTGAAATTTGGTGAGTGGCCTTATATTGCACTTAAATTTATGAATTGATGTTAATATTGGAAAAATAAGCCGACATTCGCAAATTCCAAGAATTTACAGTCGCGGTGCTTGCTGTGGTGTTTTCTGTCTCGTTGAAATTCCAGAAAATAATGATTGATCTGTTATAAAACGGATCCAGCAACAATGTTTAGCCACTCAATGCATACATTTCTTAACACATTTGTACAAAGATGTGATTGAGTTACTTTTTCTTTGTTTGTTTACAGAAACTGCTATAAAATATCTAGGCCAAACTCTAGAAAAAGCCGAAAATAGGTCATAATTCAATACTTGGATATTAATAACAGAATCTAAATATGGCAACCAATTTTTGATTTTTTATAATCATTGATATTTTTAAATTATTTCAAAACCACACTCAGGGGCGGTCTGGCATCAAAATCGCAGGGTGGCTAGAAAACTCAAGGGCCTGGTTTAGGGCGTGGCGGGGAAAATTGAGCCACACCCACTAAAAATGTGGCTAAGACCCCCCTCACATGAGAAATTTCAGGCCGGTCTGAACTCAGATCAACCTGAAATTCATTTCAGTCTGCGGTCTGAGCCCTTGAGGTGCTCACATGAGAGAGGGCGAAATGAAACTCAGGTCGACCTGAGTTCGTTTCGGTTGTTTAGGTCGGTCTGAAATTTCAGGTCGACTTGAAATCCGCATGTGAGCAGAAACGTTTTTCAAGTCGGGGCGAAATGAAACTCGCGGAGAAAAATAAATTGCATTCTGGGATGCAAATTAGAGTTCTGGGATACATGTTTGATAAATTGGGCGCCATTTCACCATTGAATAATGCAAGATACAGCCTGTGCTTATTTTGCCAAGATCTATTTGCCTTCTGTTAGACGTCATGAAAACTCTCGGAATAAAGAAACGGTACATGTTGAAGAAGTTGAAACATAAGTTGAAGAAGCAAAATAAAATGAAGTTGCAAAGCCGAGACTAAAACAACCAAAATAAATTTCAACAACTGATTTAAAATAAACCTTTTCATCAAATTATTGGGCGCCATGATTGTTTTGATCTAAATTTCGCCGTAAATGCGCATGTGCAAAACCCTGTGGCTTTTTCAAGCCGGTTTGAAAACATCCATGTGAGCGGGAGCAAAATTAGCACGCACCATCAAATTTCAAGACGACCCGAGTTTCAGACCGGCCTGAAATTGTTCATGTGAGGGGGGTCTTAGAAGACGATTGATTCAATAAAAATTGAAAATAAAGCAATACGCTAAACAGCAGCAGTATATCGACTTTAATTCGTAAATTCGGACCCAAATTAGATGGTAATTTAGGGGGAAGAGGATTTGTCCAATGTTGCCTATATTTTGTTATGTAATTTGTGCATGTTCCTTTCTTGAATGATAATGCTCTTTCCAGGGCCTATTTTAGTGTGCAGTATTACACACTTTGTGCAGTATTAATTTAAAAACGTGCAGTATTGATTTCGAAAATGTACAGTATTGAATTTTGGGATTTGTGAAAATGTCTATTTGTGGCTATCCCAGATTCCTGCTTTGTTCAAAAAATGTGAAGTTTCCTTGTCAGTTTGATACAGAGTTCATGTATTGTAATTCTCGTATAACCAGCGGAAACACTCTCTTATCAAAACTTAAAACAAAGCGAAATGCCCAGAACCAAAAACAAAACATCTCCTGTAAATGTCAGCATTGCTGTAAATTTCGTAATTTGATCTTGTCGAAGATAAAACATTCAGTAATAATTTGTCAGTTGCTCTATCATGCTCTGAGCATCTAGCAGAAGCTCACTTAACTCAACTAAAATAAAGATAAAGAGCCTAATAAAACTTTTTAGTTAATGGATCACCTTTCTTCAAACAGACCCAACAAACTCTGTAATGTATCGGTCGTAAAAATCGGTATTACAGACCACTATATGACATACGGTATTAGAAAATTAAACGCTAGAGTTCATATCAATGACGTGAAATTTAAGATAGAGTCACACAGTTTGAAAAATTATGACCGTGACTCTTTCCTTAATGACTTGCGTAGTATTGACTAGGAGATGGCTATGTCATGTAGATCGGATGACCCTAATAGGATGGCTAGCAATTTCTACGATCGTACATGATTTCTACGATCTCTTTCTCGCTGTCTTGGATGTGCATGCCCCGTTGAAAAAAGAACCGCTAAGACGGGGCATGCACATGTACCATTGATTTCTCCAAGCATCAAGAATTTGATGTGCGAGAGAGACCATATTAAGAGACAGGGTGAGAGAAATCCAGCACTATGGCCAAGATATAAGCAGCTTCGAAACCAGGGGCGGTCTGGCGTCAAAATCGGTTTAGGGCGTGGCGGGAAAAATTGAGCCACGCCCACTCAAAATTTGGCTTAGAATACGATTGATTCAATAAAAATTGATAATAAAGCAATACGCTAAACAGCAGCAGTATATCGACTTTAATTCGTGAATTCGGACCCAATTGGATCCATACCTTTCCTCTCGTGTAAACAGCCTTTAAAATCCTATGTAGAGTTAAGGAGGCAGTTCATGTTATATTTGAAAAAATGTTAGTTTTAACAAAACCAACATAACTTTGGTGTAAGTGTCAATACATACACAATTTTTCTGCTAGTGGATGACATTGAAATAAGAAACAATTTTTGATAATTATTAATGAAAAAAGTAAATTGGTTTCCATGGAAACAATATGTAAACAAGTGTACTCTTTTTGCCTTTGACATTGATAAAACAAGTTCTATCAACCACAGGAAGCTGAAACTTCTGCAGAGAATCTGCATTGCAACAAGCTGTGCAATGTATTGGGGTTTTTTCAAAATTATCAATTAATAGGGGGGAATGTCCAAAAAATAGTTTTTTGTAGTTCAAATTAGTTCAACAACAAATTTTGTAAACTTGTCAATTCATTGCATAGAACTATCTTAAATACATATACTGTGAAAATTTGAGCTTGATCTGGCAACAGATTTTAAATTTATCAATGTTTTCCTATACGCACGTCTACAATATTAAATGTTGAGAAAACGCATAGTAAAGTTTTAGGATTATTGCACAACCAAAATGATACCAAAATAAAAGATAAAACCAATGTCCTGGTGATAAATATTGTACAATTTAGTCTTTATAATAAACTTCCATGCAGAAATCTTCCTTTAGACCTTATTTTTCTTGAATTCTGTTAGAACAGCTATTTCTTTTTCATCAATGAATGTTATATTTTGACAATTGCTATCATCTTCTGAATCAATTCTTTTTCTCTTATTATTATGTTCATCATCAACTTGCTTTCTGGTTGCTCCTCTTGCTTTATTTTTCTTCTTTTGTCTGACTTCAGGTAGAGAGTCTATATCAAAAGAACCTGCTTTATATGACTTTTTATCTGAGTTTTTTTTATTTTTCTTACCCTTATGACGCAGTGCTTTCCTTTTTGTCTTAAATTCCATGCTAGATTTCCTTTTTGAATTTTGCAGCCTCTGTTTGTTTTGGTTCCTCAAATATTTCAAGGTATGAGGACCAAGGTCTTTGATACCCAAAGATCTCATCAGCAGAGCTCTACTTGCAGCTCCAGTATTCCACATGGAAACTGCTTCACAAACAGCTATTTTAACTTTTGTGGTCCCACAGTACTTTGTTTTTGGACACCTGTTTGTCCACACTTGACCATTAAGGCTTTCATTTTGATTCTGGGTCAATCCTTTCAGGCATCTTTGAAGCAATGCATCATCTGAAAGCCTTTGAAATATTGGTGTTAGTTCTTCAAAAAATACACCGGGTAGCCTCTTATCTTGGCAATATTTTCCATCATTGTATAGCTTTTCCTTCCAGAACTTACACCATGTATCTTGATCTTTAGGGCAAAACTGGTGTTGTTCTTCCAATGATAAAT